ATGTAAACATCCATTCGATAAATCTATTGAAGTGAATCTAGAATCTTCTCTCTAGGCAGCCTCATACTGAAATTTGAGTCTTTATCTTTTAGCTCACTCTGTAAGCTGCTGGCATGCGTTCTTTTCATATCTTTTATTCTCAGGGGTTTGGGGGCACATAAGACTCTGTAAATGGTTAAATGGTGTCTTCCTCTCCGACCAGGTAGAAAGCCAGTGTTTACTAACCTGTCTCCTGCTGTGGGTCTAGCTCTGGGATTGTTTATGCATGTGCAAGTTCTGCATGGCACTCTTGTATGCACCACTGACTTTTTTAAAAAGCAATTTTATTAGAATATAATTTTGTTTTTGTTTTTCAAGACAGGGGTTCTTTGTGTTGTTCTGACTGTCCTGGAACTTGCTCTGTAGACCAGGCTGAACTCAAATGTGGAGATCTACCTCCCTCTGCCTCCTGAGGGCTGGAATCAAAGGCATGTGCCATCATGTTGGCTTGAAATACAATTTTCATGTAACTTCAGTTCACTTATTAGACTTATTTAAGGCAGTGATATTAACATATTTATAGTGTTATGCATCCATCACCACAATCTAATTTTAGAGCACTTTTATTATTCCAAAGAGAAGCCTTTTATCATAAACAGTTATTCCTGTTTGCATCTCTCCTTTTAATCCAAGGCAACTATGGGCCTATTTTCTTAATCTAAGGACTTGCCTGTTCTGCACATCTGTTTCTTTTGTGTGTGTGTGTGTATGTGTCTGACTTCTTTTACTGATCATTTTTTGAAGATTTGCCCACATGTAGAGTATATGAGCACACTATTATTTTTTATTGACAAATGCCATGTGATCATGTTTTGCATTATTCATGCCTCTTGGGTAGATATTGTGTTTGTCCCTGTTTTGTTGCTGTGAAGAGACACCGTGACCAAGGCAACTCTTAGGAAAGAAAGCATTTAATTTGGGGCTTGCTTGCAGGTGTAGGAGTTAAGCCCATTATCATCAAGGTAAGGAGTAAGGTGACCCGCGGCAGACACTGGAGTAGTAGCTGGGAGCTAAATCCCAATCTGTAGGCAAAGAGGGAGGGCCTAGGCCTGTTTTGGGCTTTTGAAACCTCAAAGCCCACCCCAGTGACATATTTCCTTCAACAATGCCTTATCTCTTAATCTTTCTAGTCACTCCCTGTTGACTAAGCATTCAAACATATGAGCCTATAGTGGCTGTTCTTACTCAAGACACCACAGATATCTAGGAACAGAATTGTCACGTGTCAGGTGGTAACTACATTTTACATCTTTATAATTGGGGTTGGAGAAATGGTGGGTGATTTAGAGCACTTGTTACTCTTGCAAAGGACCTGGGTTAGGCTCCTAGAGCCCACATGGTAGCCCATAGCCATTTCTAACACAAGGTCCAGGGGATCTGACGTTCTCTTCTGAACTCTGTGGGCACCAGGCATGTACATGGTGCACAGACACACATACAGGTAAAACACGCATACACATAAAAAAAATCTTAAAAAAATACACCTTAAAGTTGCCAGAATTTTTTCAAAGTGACTGCTATTTTACATTTCCATCAGCAACAATGGAGATTCCAATCTTACAGATCATAACTTGTATTTGTCTGGCTTTAAATTTGTTCTAACCATCGTAGTGAGAGTGAACTGATACTCTCACAGTTGATCTGCTTTTAACTCATGACAAGATGTTGAGGTCCATTGTAATAATGCATATTATCCATTTATATATTGTCTTTGGAGAAATGTCTTTTCAAATTCTTTGAATTTTTAAGTGATCCATTTGTTTTATTTAAGAGTTGTAAGAGTTTTTTATTCTCAGCATAAATCCTTTATCAAACATGCGATTTGCGAGTATCTTCTTGTAGTCTAGGAGAATTTCATTGACAATATTATTTGAAGACAAATATTTTAAACATTGATGAAACCTGCCTTAGTAAATTTTTATTGTTGTGATAAAACAACATGACTAAAAGCAGCTTGGGAAGTAAAGGGTTTGTTCTATCTTACAACTCTTCAGGTTACATCACATCACTGATAGAAGTCAGGGCAGAAACCCAAACAGGAACCAGGAGGCAAGAACTGAAACAGAGGCCGTGGAAGAGTGCCACTTACTGCCTTGCTCTCCATGGTTTGTTCAGTCTGCTTTTTTATACATCCCAGGACCACCTGCCCAGAAGTGGCCCCATCCACAATGGACTGGGCCCTTCCACACCAATCACTAACTAAGAAGATGCTCCACAGGCTGGCTACAAGCCAGTCTTATGGAGACATCCTCTCAGTTGTGGTTCCCTCCTCTCAGATAACACTAACAAAACTAGCCACGAAAAAGTCTAATATATCTCAATTAAAATTTTGTTTATTTTTATTTTATATGTATGAATGTTTTGTCTGCATGTGTCTGTGTAGCTCATGCCTACAGTGCTTTCAGAGGCCAGAAGAGGACCTTAGATCCTCTGGAACTGGAGTTACATACAGATAGTTGTTAACTGCCACGTGGACACTGGCAATGGAACCCAGACGCTTTGTAAGAATACCAAGCAATCTTAATCCCTGAGCCTTCTCTTCAGACCTATATCTTTTTTTTTTTTTTTGAGATTTGGTTTTCCTTTGTAGCCCAGATGACCTTGAACTTGTGATTCTTCTGCCTCAGCCTTCATAGTCTTGGGATATAAGTATGTGCCACCATGCATGATTTTGGTTTATTACTTTAGTGTTGTATGCAATAAATAAATAGCTGTCTAATCCAAAGTCAAGAGGGTTTTCTCTTAGGGTTTCTAAAAATTTTAGTCTTTTAAGTAGATCTGTGATATATTGTGAGCTGCATTTTTTTTTTCAGTGTATGAGGTCTAGTTTCATTCTTTTGGATGCCATTAGTCTCGGTACATTTGTTAAAAAGATTTTTCTTCCCACTAAACTATTCAAGTGCCATTGTTGAATATTTACTGATAAAAATGCAAAGTTTACTTTTTTACCTTTGAGTCTATCTCACTTATCTACATGTTTATCCCGTGGTTAATTCTAGTCTTATGGTAAGTTTTGAAACAGAGAAGTGTGAGGTCTCCAACTTTGTTCTTTAAAAATTTGTTTTGGTTATTCTATATTCCTTAAATTACCATGTGGATTTTATATTCATTTTGTCAATTTTTACAAACAAACAAAAATAAACACACATAAAATACATTTGGAGAGATCAGAAGCAGTCCCAGTGAGATTCAGAAAGCTTTGTCACATGGGCATCAGCAGATTTTGTGGAAAGAGTGGGAAGGGGAAAGAAAAGGGCTTCTAAGGTCTGCCTGGGAGACCAGGAGAGGTTGACTATGCATGCAGGAGCCCCACACGCCTTTGGAGGCACACAATCTCTGGGAAGGCTGTGACAGGAAGAAGAGTGAAGTGTTTTACATATTCTCCTGCCTCAGCTTGATAAAGAGTGGGAAAAAAAGGTTTGATGCTTTAGAGGACTAGGTGGCATCAATAGTCAGATGGATTTATATTGGGTAGGGTTCTCCTTAGACTGGTTGGTCATGCATGCTGCTCGACTTAGTGTGAGATTTTATACAGTAGACTAAGGATATAGCATGAAAAGTCTATAGGGCAGGACTTGGCCATGTGTAGGTCCTAGGGTGGATAAAGGGACCATAACAGAACCTCACACTGATGACTTATTGCTTCAAAAAACTTTTTGGACAAAGGAAGCAAAATTGTGGGAAAGATTCTGAAACTTCTTTAGGGTCAAGAGAAGCCTGTCCTCAGCATTTCTGTATATGGAACTCAAAGTTCACGGAGAGAAAGGCATATAGTAGGTATATGAATGTAGGATGTGCCAAGTCCTATAGGCTTACTGTTTCTTTGAAGATATTGTACCTTTGGCAGCTACATCTAATTCCTTCTTTGTCTTGGCTCATGAAGGGAACCTGTACTCTTTAATGGGATGAAGCTATTTACAAGGAAGAAGAGGATGCTTTGGTTAAGACACAGAGTTACTAGGGCCAAGAGGTAGAATTCTGGATGAAAACAGCTTTGGGTATGCACCCCACCAAAAATATGGGGTAATGATGGGGAATATAATGTTTATGATAACATGTACTTGATCTGCCTTTAGCAAAATTTAAACATAATTCCAAGGAGAAGGAGATGAGTGTAGAAATATTCATTTCCTGTTTTTACTGTTGGTTACTAATGACCTTCCTTTGAAACTCTGCAGCATAGAAAGCAGGTTGTCATGGAGACAGGGAATGACGTTCAGGGAATAGGTACACAATGTATTTCTTTGTCATGTCCAGCTGATGTGTTCAGTTTCTGCTTAGATGTGTGAATTTATATGAATTATGAGAATTAAATATTAACTACAGTCATTGCCTTGGAGAGAAATAAAAACCAAGAGAAAAGACACCAAAAACAAGCAATGAGGGCTGATGGGGGCCCAGGGCTTATTGTGAGTGGTAGTGTTATCAGAGCTGATCAGGCCACTGGATGGACTTCACTTTCCTCAGTCAGCATACTCTTGAGAAGTTGAATGGTATAATGTGTGTTTATTAAGCAAATGAATCTGAGTTGCACATTCTTTTGGGATAATAATAGATGCAATTATAGTTGAGCAATTATTCAATGGTCATCTAATTTTCAAAATTCCTCAATGTCAGCCTTTTTTTCAAGGTAGGTCTCATATGAGTTACACTAGTGCCCTTGCTTGAAATAGCCTTGTATATGGATGTCTACACTTGGTGACACATGTGTAAAGTAGCCACCAGAGGTGGGATTGTGGTGTAGAACCTCTGCCTTCAAAGTATTTCACCCCAGAACAACCATAAGCCATGAATTTGTCTGTCAGATATATTTCAGAGACTGTATAAATGCTATGTTAAAAAGTATCTTACAAAAAAAAAGTATCTTACATTTTTTCTCTTTTCTCTTCTTGGGTCTGCCTGGCTGATATTTGTCATAGTTCCCTTTTCTGAACCTCTGTTCTTTTAAACCCTCAGAAAATGAATTCCGGGGCAAACTTCTGACCCAGAGGTGGACACAGGAAGACAAGACCAGCAGCTGCAGAACTGAGAAACATTTCCTGTGCAGATACAACAAAGTAAGAGCTTGGCCATGGGTGGTTCAGAGTCTAGATGGGAACCAGGGCCACCTAGTCAGTTTTTTAGTTAGAGGAAAAAGAATGACTAAATATATAAAACTTCATGTGATGGTAGATTCCCACCTTTCAGGCATCTCCCCAACTTTAGTGTTCTACTTGGACTCAGTCATGTATGTTGGCACCTGTTACTCATTTTCCCTGTCTGGGCCCGGGTGAGATCAGAGTCTCCAAGGTTGGGTAGTGAATTCTGATGCAGGGGTCTATGAGGTCTGCTGATATTTTATTTTTATCTTCATAAATGTAGAAGACGATGCCCCTTCCTAGTGCCCGCCCAGAAGGTGTGATAGATGTGACTGCTTCCCAGGGACACTCCTGAGCTTGGGGATAGTGCATACATTTATGATCATGGTTTTGGTCACCAACCTCCTAATTCTACAACTTCCCTCTGAATTGCTTTGTCTGAGACCAGCTCTCCAGAGCAGGTGGCATCAGAGCTGGGAGTCAAGGTAGAGAAACATGGGGCATCCATACCTGGAGGTCAGATGCTAACCTCTTTAAAAATTATTTTAGAGGTACTTATTTTATGTCTATGAATGTTTTGCTTGCATGTAGGCATGTATACCATGTGCATGCCTAGTATTTGCAGAGGTTAGAAGAGGGCATTGAATCCCCTAGAAATGGAGTTACAGATGGTTGGGAGCTACTCAGTGAGTGCTGGAAACTGAACCTGGGTCCTCTGCAAGAGCAAAAAGTACTATTAACCACCTTTCTAGTGTCTAGATATCATCTTCCATTTTATTTTTTATGGTTTTGAGTATTTTATCCTGCATGCATATATATGTGCATCATGTGCATACCTGGTGCCATGGATCCCCTGAAACAGATAGTTGTAACCTACAGCTGCCATGTGGGTGTTGGAATTGAACCTGGGTCCTCTAGAGGAGCAATCAGTACTCTTAACTACTGAGCCATTTTTCTAGTCCCCAGATGTTGACTTCTTATCTGACATGTTGAGGTTTTGCATTGAGTGTCTCAACCAACACCTAGGCATGACAGCCAGTATAGGAACAGTCCAGGTACAGATACCAAAGACTATGCATTTCAAGGCAGGATAGCATCTGAGGGCTCTTATATTTTACAATTAGAATATACTACTTTTCCTTTGTGTCTGGTGGTGGAAATGGACATTTAAAAAGGTCTATTACAGTCTCTTTGCTAAGTACTCCCACTAATTTTGGTTCTGTCATAAGTGTGTTGAAGACCCGTATTAAATATGTATCTTTTCTCTATATTTAATTGTGACATTTTGTCTGTTCTGGATCTTTTATATGATTGGTGTCTTTTTTTTTAAGTATTTTTTTAAATATTTATTTATTTATTATGTATACAATGTTCTGTCTGTGTGTATGCCTGCAGGCCAGAAGAGGGCACCAGACCTCATTACAGATGGTTGTGAGCCACCATGTGGTTGCTGGGAATTGAACTCAGGACCTTTGGAAGAGCAGGCAATGCTCTTAACCACTGAGCCATCTCTCCAGCCCCTATGATTGGTGTCTTAAATATTATGGAAAATATTATTTATCTCCATCACTGAAATTTTGACCTCTCTTACTTCACTCTACTCTTGCCCAAAGGACTCCCCTAGTGACACAGGTGTCAGATCATGTGACCATGAAAGTGGCCCGACCTAGGCTCTGAACAAAGCAGTTTCAGTGATTGCTCTGTCAGAGTAGGGTAGGAGGACTCTGGTTTCCCCACAGCCCAGGCACAACATGCTCAGAGGGTTTGAGCCTGCCATGAACTGTGTGTGACAGGTGCTGGTAATGAGCTTGGGACTGACACTCATGCCTTCAGCAGCACTAAGGCTTCATAACTGTATCATCCTTACTCTGGACACATCTTTGTGAGTTCAAGGCCAGTTAGGTAGAACTACATAGTGAGCTCCAAGATAGCCATTACAGGGTGCGTCTCAAAAAGAAAGAAATAACAACAACAAATTAAGATGAGGAATAGGCCAGTAGAGGAGGGAGGATGGAAAAGGGATGATGGCCCAGAACTAAGGAGACTAAAAGGGATTTTTGAGGCGAGTGATCTAAGATGGGGTGTGAGTTAAAATGAGGAACCAACTGTGAGGACCAAGGAGTGGCCCACATAATAAGACCAGTGGTGTGCTCACCCTGAGTTCAGCATACTTTAGGACCATGTAGGGCTGTCAGAGAAGGCCTGTACTGGCATGTTAGAGGATACCCTGTGTTGGTATATTAGGCACAGATGGTGATCCTTGAACTACTTCTGAATCTGAGAGCAAAACCTGTGGTCTCAAGGCACACACTACTTAGTAGACAGCTATGGAACAAGGGTCTCTGGTAAGGACAATTTAAAAGAAGTACCTTCAGTGAGGGAGGTGTCTTCTTTCTAGCTGTCTGACTTGATGTTGTTGTATTATACCCTGGAGAGATACAAGTTCCATTTATAACTAGGTACCTGTGCAATTCCAGCACTTGGAAGGATAAAGTAGGATGGCTAATATTTCAAGTACAGCTTGGGCTACATAGCAAGACTATGTTTCAAAGAAGAAACAAAAAAATTTCTTTTATGAAATTTGAAAGAGATGTGGCCAGATGTGGATGCTTTGTCAGGTAGCTTAATCGGTGATTATAATTTTTCATTTAGGGGTTGGAGTGAGTCAGATCTCATGTTTAGAACTTCAAAAGGTGTCCCCTCCCGAGCCATTTACTGAATAATGCCCTGGGAGTGGTGACATTTCTATATCACAGGAGGAAACTGGTCTACTGACTTGTTTTTTTTTTAAAGATTTTTTTAATTTAATTTATTTATTTCTTATGTATGCAACATTCTGCCTCCATGTATGCCCGCATGCCAGAAGAGGGTGCCAGATCTCATTACAGATGGTTGTGAGCCACCATGTGGTTGCTTAGAACTCATACACAAAAGGACGGGCAAATATGATGGTGGGCCGTAAATGGGATCTGGACTCTCAGGGTCCCTACTGGAGTTTTTATGGAGGAGGAAGTATGACTGATGCTTGAAGGATGCTTATAAATCCCGAGTGGGGTGCCCCCTTCCCTGCCCCAGTGGTGGATCCAGACTTGGGCCTGCACAGGGAACACTGCTGCCAGGGAACAAGACAGTATCCCTTTTGGCTGCCACAAGGAGAGTAAAAAACAAAGCAAACCACTGTATTTCGTTTTACCCTCAATGGAGTGAATAAGATACTGCCAAGTGACCAGGATGTGAGAGGGCCAATTTATGCTACCTTTTAACCCCTTATCTACTCCAGTCCCTTTATCTGGGCAGGGATGAAGCAGACATTCTCCGCCAGGGCTCCAGAAGAAGTATGTTGTACAAAAACCTTAGTCCTTTATTTTATTTTTGAGTTCACATGATGGACTTAAAAATTGTCCTAAATCTATTCTAATTTTTCAGCTTATCAGAACATATTTTTTTTTCTGATATAGGGCTTCACTAAGTAGCCTTGGCTGGCCTGGAACTTGCTATGTAGACCAGACTAGTCTTGAACTCACAGAAATCTACCTGCTTTCTTCCTCTCTTTAATTCTGCTGGGATGTCACCCACTCATTGCTAGAGTACCTTTTAAGTAAAATAAAACACTAAAATATCTTCTCCCAGTCCGGGGCTAGAATGAATTGTCCATGGTGTCAAGAGGCCCAGAATCTCCTACCAAGGCTCAGCAGCTGTCTGCTCAACTTTCTCTGACATACCCCTCCTCCACCAGCACCAGCTTCTAAGATAGTTTTGAATGCCCCACATACTCACTCTTTCCTCCATCTGCCCTTTGTGCATGATGTGTCCTGGGCAGCTTTCTGTAGAAGACAGTGAATGACCTCACATTTGTGAAGGAAGGAACTCTCCTCAGCATGAGGTAGGGACCTTTTGGGAGATGAGGTAGTTAAGAACAGAGAGATGTGATTGGTGGTCAGACAGATGGAAGAAATCTGACCATTGAATTTAAGTTGGCTATCCAAAGGTGCTCGTGGTTTCTGGGGTTAACTCACTCCAACCCTGAGGTGTCTGTCCCGGACATTATTAGGTATTCGCTTGTTAGCTCACTGTCCCTGTTCCTGCTCATGCTCTCAGTGCTCAGCAGCTCCCTCATCTTTGTGTTCACTCCTGTACATCCTCACCACCTTCCTAGAATTGTATGCAAACCTCCTAAAGCTGGGTCACCTTCATCTAGGGTCAGATTTCAGCATGTATTTTGCCCTTGGATATCGGTGTGGAAAGGCAAAGTGTGGGTAGGGAGACCTGGAGGGTGTGGACAGCTGTCCTCAGAGGTCAAGGTGAAGGTCAACAAAAAGTAATTGGCTTAGGGAATCCCTGCATCTCTAGAAATCTAAACTATATTTATTATTTCCTTTCCTTCTTCTTCTTTTTCTTTTTCTTTTTCTTCTTCTTCTTCTTCTTCTTCTTCTTCTTCTTCTTCTTCTTCTTCTTCTTCTTCTTCTTCTTCTTCTTCTTCTTCTTCTTCCTCCTCTTCCTCTTCCTCCTCCTCCTCCTCCTCTTCTTCTTTTTGAGACAGGGTCTCATTATATATCCCTGGATAGCCTTGGAATTGCTATATAGACCAGGCTGGCCTTGGACTCACAGAGCTCTGCCTGTCTCTCCCTCTCCAGTGCTGGAATTAAAACTGTATGCCTTCATGCCTGGTCCCAATTTTTTTTTTTTTCGAGACAGGGTTTCTCTGTGGCTTTGGAGCCTGTCCTGGAACTAGCTCTGTAGACCAGGCTGGTCTCGAACTCACAGAGATCGCCTGCCTCTGCCTCCCGAGTGCTGGGATTAAAGGCGTGCGCCACCATCGCCCAGCCCAAGATTTCTTTTTAAAGACCAGATATTTGTTGTTGTTGTTTTTTTTTTTTTTCCAGCTGTGTTGAGTTCTGAGTTTATTCCTCTGACAACCAGAACAAAGCCAGAAGTAATGTGTAGGTTTGGAGGCTGCTTGCTACATTTGCTATTTTGGTACTTGACTTTGAAAAGGTTCAACACAGGGAGCTCAGTTTGGCAACTGAGTATGAAAAGGGGCTAGTCATTGTGTTTAAAAAGGACTCGCATGACCGGTTTTGCCTTTATTAAAGCAATACAGAACAGATCAAAACAAAAAACACCCTCCAGTGAGACTGCTTTTAAGAATAGTACCAAGCAATCAAGTTTAGTGCCTGGACGGTGACACAGTTCTCTCAGGCTAATGTAATAGCTATGACTGAATACAATGTGTTTGCATTTGGAAATTATTTTCTCCAATTTTCCTATACAAGGCAAAACTAATAAAATTTCAGAACTAAAATGTAGTATATCAGCAGTATGAAATTGATGTTAGAGAAACAGAGCAGATGTTGCTTGTGGAAAAGATACTAGGTCTCACAGTGAGCAAGATTATCTATCTCAACAAAGGGACCCTTTTACCCTCAAAGCAAGAGTCCATTGAGTTATTTGTGGGTTGTGCAAAAACTGGAGGTCCTGTTTGTTTGTGCTTGGAAGAAATAAAAGGTTTTTTAAAAAATAAAGCATGGGAAAATAGAAGCACCTCACTACCTTCATACCAGTGATTTGCCCCCATAGGCAGGGACCACCCCTGTGTGGAGCAGGCAGGAGGTCTAGGGGTCTGTTGCCAGTCCAAATATCAGTGAGTCTGGCCAGTGCCGGACACAGTGCTTCCCTGAGCATGATAGCCTAATGGGTAAGGGCAAGCCTCTAGGTAAGAGGTTTGTCTTCTGTAGTGCTTTGTAAATGAAAGCATGTGAATTGCCCACATATTTTGCCAGATGCCTCTACAGCAGCTACCACTGTCAGTTTCAAAAAATGAGAGGAAAATCGTCCCTTGGCATTGAGTTCACAAGTCATCCAGAGTCTGTAAACACATTTTCATCATATTAAAGAGCTTGGATTTCTCTCCTACAAGTTCAGGAGTTTCCCTCCTAAAATCAAAACTATGCACACTGAAGAGAACTTCTTATACATTGAATATTTGATGCAAGTAAATTGCAAAGAGAAGGTGCTCAGGACAATGAATGCCACAGCTGTTAGCTTCATCAATGGGAGCTCACAGTTTGCAAGCAATGCCCATTACACATCCCTGTAACCCTCTCTATTCTTTGCCCTTTGAATAATTTATCCGCAGGAAATCCAAATTGCCAAGGCATACTTTAATCTAGCAGAATGCCTGCCAATTTCCTTGGGAAAACTGACACAAAAAGCTATAGATTACATTTCAGCTGAACACAGGCATGGGGCAATCAGATGCATTGTGTGCCCTGCCTCAGAAGGCATTGTGAACAGGCTCAGTGCAATCGACATTTGAGGGCTCCTAGATGTAATGTCGTCCCTTTGACACCTGCTCCTCTCTTTACTTTAAATGTGAGCAATTGGTCCATAGGGAGCCTCTGCTTTAAAAATAGAAATTATAGAAATTGTCTCTGTTCTATGGGAAGGATATAATAAACACATGACTTATAGCATTGTGCTCCACAGCCTGGAGCTGGCAGGTTGCATAGATTACCCTGGTTTTAATTTTTATTCTTCAACAAATTACATAAAACACTGTATGCTAGGCTACTTTATAGAAAAGTTCACTTGTGACTTTCATCTGCCAACTGAGAAATTCTATTTTCTTTCTTTCTAGTTGATAAGGTAGAGGTTTGTCTTTTGCCATTCCCTTCCTTCTGCAATCTCATTGTATGTATCTCATTCACTTGCTTTCCCCCTTTGCCAAACCACTCACACAGAGTTTTGTTATCCTGGTGGTATCTATGGTCTGGGACAGATGTTGATTTGCCTCTTATTTTTCCTGACCATGGGGACAGGTAGAGAAGCCTGGACTGCCACTGTTCTGCTTGGGTACACGCCTGCCCCTCCCAGTCCTGCTCTCTGTGAGAAGATTGTTTCCCAAATCACAGAGCTTGCCAGTATTTTATCTGTTCTTTCAGATACGTTATGGTGACACAGATGAGGGTCACCTGGGGACCTCATCCTCAGTAAGCTCTATCTATGGCTGTCACCTTCATAGTGGCTCTTCCCCGGTTTTCTCAAAGGACCATGTTGTAGGAAGCAGCCCTATAGAGGCTTCTCTAGGTGAGTGAGGGTTTTAATGGACTTGGAAGTTCTTAGCAGGCCAGAGGATGTGTGGACAAGTGTTGCTCAGGCTACCAGTATCTACCCATATGACCCTAGTATATTAGGAACATGAAAACCTATGCCCAGTAAGAAGGAAATGTCCATGGAAGCCAGGCCCTGTATTATGCTAATTTGACCCAGTTCTGTCTCGGTTAACAGCATCCTCTGTACCTCAGTACCTGCCTGACAAGGTGAGCAGTGGATGTTACTCCCTGTGCCAGGAGCCCCTTGTATTATAAAAAAAGCTATATACACGAGGCTGTGGCTTTTGTGGGCAGATAGAAACCTGAAACAGTGTGGATGGAGCACTATGAGGGACTAGGAAATATGATAAGCCTGATGGTCTCTACCCAGCAGAACCACCAATATTATCCCAACTCGCTTCTTTGGTCCCTTTCTTGTCATTCACAGATAATCTTCCTGCCATCATCAAAGCTTGAGCCAGATGTCCCTGGTGGTTCTAGACATGGCAGGTGCCGGCTCTGGCTCTTCTTAACATTGTGGTTGTTTTTTCTTTGCAGATGAGCTTAGAAAGTGATGACAAGCGAGCCCGCACGCGGTCCAAGACCCTCCGAGGTAAGTGCCAACTCAGTCTGGCCTGGTCCCCATCCTTGGCAGCTGCTCTCTCTGAAGCTGTTGATATCATTGTACAACAGTTTTCCTCAGGAGTGCACATCCCACCATAAATGATCAGCTTCCTGGTAGCCTTTGGTCCACTCTGGGCACCTGGGACTTTCGGGCTCTTCAGCTGTTTCCGGTGCAGTATTTAAGGGTTTTCTGAAGTCCCTTTCAGTGCATACAGACTTTCCTCAGGCACAAATGTGAGGACAAGTACAGTTCTATGGGAGTGGGAACAGCAGAGTTTAGTCAAGAGCCTGCTTAGTTTGGAAAGGAAAGGCCTCTGGTCTTTGACCAGTATCCTCTTCCCCAGAGATCACTCACTGTTGGTGCTATTGGGGATTTGAAGGCTGTTGGGTGGACTTAACAGTGGGTGGAGGAGAGGGTCAAGGACTTGTTTATTCTATTAGGACTGAGCCTTGTCAGGTGGTGGTGGTGCATACCTTAATCCCAGCACTGGGAAAGTAGAGGCAGAGGCAGGATCTCTGTGAGTTCAAGGCCAGCCAGGTCTATCAAGAGCTGTTATACAGAGAAACCCTGCCTTGAAAAAAGCTGAAACAAGCCAAAACAGACAACAAACAAACAATAACAACAACAACAACAACAAAAGAGACTGAGCCTTGCTGTTTGGTCATCCTCCCAACCCCCAACTCTCTCACTTGGAACTTTCCTGTTGAGCCCAACAGGATTACATCACAGAGTATATAGAGCTGCCTATTCTGGTTGGATCCATGCACATCTTGTAGCTAGTGCCCATCATTGTGGCCAGCTATGTTTCTAATTGTCCTGGTCTTTATCCAACTTGATCTGGTAGTTAACATATCCCGCTAGAAACTGAAATCTATCTTCAATTAAAGAGCGATAACACCCTGGGTCCGAGGGTGGAGAGACAGAGAGACTATCAGGTCTTCTTTCTCTCTGTGTGTAGGGGTCCTAGAGCAAGCACTTTGCTGAGGGGGCAGCTCTCTCCACTGACTCAGGGCATCTTCTTGTAGGTCGGAAAAGGGTGGGCATCTTGTCCTTGGGAAGATCTCAGTCGTTTCATTCAGTTTATATGTTTAGGAAAACATGCTTCTAAAAATCTCTTACATGTGTGCATTTCTGTTTCTCTTACCCAGGACCCCCAGAAACCACAGGGGCAGACCTCAGGTAAGAAAGTAGTCTGTTTGCAAGATCATTACACACCATCTGCTGGCATGTAACCTTGGAGCTGTTATAAATTTTCCCACAAGCTCTTGTTTTCTCTGAGGAAACAGCTTCTCTCTGTGATATATCTTGTTATCTGCATCCAACTGGGCTCTTCTTCAGCTCCACTTTGGATCTACCACAGGTGACCCTCACATTGTTCTTCACTAGAATTTAGATTATCAACATGGTTCTCAAAACCAGCAACAAGGTGCTTTTGGTGACTTTTGCAGACAGTGTCATTTATTTGTGTATCTACATGTTTTCTGTTCATAGTACCATGGTTTGAGAGAAGAATATCATGTATGTGCAAATCATGTAAAGTCATTTGAATGCAGCCCTACATGTGGGACTTTTCATAGAGGATGTATCTGTGCCTCTTTGGTTCAGAATTCCTAAGCTTGCAGCACTCTCATCCCTGGCCTACCCCGTAGTTTAGGCAGAGTTCTTAGAAGGACATTTGTTGTCTGGGAGACTTAAGGATGGTCGTTACGAGGTTTTCTGAGGAACTTGGACTAGAATGAACAAGATCCAAAGAGGTCTCTTGCCCTCTATAAGTTTTCCTGTGTCCTGAATTTAACACTAGTTCTTAGGATAAGAACTATATTTAAAGGTTTTCCTTCAGCATTCTTGGAGGAAATGACATATACTTCAGCTTGTATTTTCGTGGAGTTCAGCATCCATTACAGGGCATCAGAGAGGTTCTCCTGAGGAGGGAGCTGGAAGAGGGCTGAGATCAATAGCTTAGAGACATATCAGTGGGCTTGTTAGGGTTGTACTAATGTACCCTGCAACTCAACCTTTATTTATGTGGGGTCCTTCCTCTTTGAACCAGTTCTTTCCCAGAGGACAGGTGAGTACAAGGCTCCTAACCCTCATGGTTGGGGAGGGAGTCAATTCCTTTAAAAGGGGAGTAGTTAGAGCATGGTGCTCCAATCTGGGATTTAGATTGTCTTCAAAATTGGGTTCCTAGATGTCTGTGACTTGTGTTTGGACCCTTTAGAGCTGCATCTAAAATACCTATTGAGAGGTAGCCATCAGTCAGCCCTCGGCTCCTCACCTGTTCCATCTCCTTGCATCTCTGATCCTGGTTTTATTTACATAGGATCCAAGACCAGACTTTGGGGTTTAGGGACTTTGCCTTTGAGTGCTTATGAGCACACACAAGCATCTATGTCTGCCTGTGAACTGCTATGATTGTCTAAGAGCACATATGAACACTTATGACTGTGTAAGGACAAATGGGCATTAAGTGTCAGAGGAAGGATCACTTTGACTTTGACTTTTCTCCTGCCTGTGTAGAGGACTCAGGAGGCCTGGAGTCCTTATCAATAACTTAACTTCTGCCCAGCCCTAGGAGTTAAAATGCATTAGTAGATGGTAGTGTACATGAATCCTCAGTGTGCTCTAAGTACTCATCCGTGCTCATAGATGGTCAAAGATTCTCACATATTCTTATAAGGGGCATTGATGCTAATGTGTACTCCTGGGTGCTCTTGCATGCTCACAGATTACCCTAGGAGGCTCAAGACTGATGGATGCTTCCATTACAGTGTCTGGAGGTCCTGGCTGGATCTCATCTGCTTGATGTTTCCTGTTTCTATGCCTAAGGAGTGTCTAGTTCTGTCTAGATGGCCTTGCCAGCTTTATGTACTTGGGCTCAGAGCTGGGTGGGAAGGTGTAGGCCCACCTGGTTGGGGACCTTTTCTGTACTTTCCTGAGTTGGGTACCAGAGTACCTTGGAGCAAGTGGGGCAGGGACAGTGCCAGTGTCCCACAGGCCTACACAGCAGCTGTTGCCTAATTACCTGTTTAACTAAGTGATTAATTGCCTAATTGGGACCTCAGCTTCAGATCCCAGCACAAGAAATTGTTTGTGAAAATTCTTAAAGATAGTTCTTAAGAAAGCAAAGCAGACGTGAGCTGGTTTTTACAATAGGTTGGTCAGGTGCAGCAATAATTTCCCATCTGGAAAATAAAATACCTTCTGCTTTTTCTTCCTGGAAACTATCAGGGCTATCCAGAGAGGTGGACACCCTTCCATAGGTCCCAAGAGCCACTCCCTATCTGCCTCCTTTTGAAGACTTTGGGAAGATGCGCCACATTTTAGGAGAACCAATACTGACTCTAGATAAGAACTCTGGTCCACATTAGCAATTCTGTTAGAAATGTGTAGTCTCCACTTTGGGACAGGTTCTGCTCCCCCACAAAGGGCTGAGGTCTTAAATATTCCCCTACATGGCCTCACGGACCATCTCACTGGTCTACAGTACCATGAATTAGTAGTGGCTTCTTGTACAGAACTCTGAGCTGTGGTGGACCCTCACCTCTCATACCACATAGGGTATTTGCCCTTATAGCTGTTCTAACCTGAGTATTCCTGTGGGCCTCTTGGTTGGGTGGTGTGATCTGTGTTAATGCTCATGTTTAAAAGTTTTCACTGGTTTGGTAATGTGGATGGCTGAAGGTGAGGAACTCCAGAGGTTCTCACTTCTGTCCTCTTGTACTTACCATTCTGGAATGGGGCAGGGCCTGTCCTTCTCAGTACAGACAACAAGTTTTCTACCAGGTAGGATGGGCATCCACTAGAACATTAGCTCCCTGACTTCCTTTCCTATGTGGAGACAGAGACCTACACCAGGCAGTGGGTACTGGAGCAGGGTCACTCCTACAAGCTGTGGTTCTGGTTTGGGCCACACAGTCTCCTTTCTCACTGGCAGCCCCAGTCCTGCTTGGTAAAAAGGGAATACAAACTATAGATCTGGATGCCAAGGCACGAGCACCAGTGATGAACATGGAGAAGTCCAAATTCCGTGCTGTGAACTTGGGTCAGACAAGCCATGAGAGAGGGGTACTTGTATCCCAAGTCTCCTGAATGCTGGTGGAAGTTGGTGGAAGGTCTGTGATGGGAAAATGAAATCATCCAATAGATGCTTGAATCTTATATGTACAGATCTTCAATTAAACACATTCATAAAGTTCTAACTAACTATTCATTTGTTCAAATGGGCTGAGTTATTTCATTAATTTTTACTAAACTGCCATCTTGGGATGAGCCTTTTGGAGAGCTTTTCTTGCTCTTGAGGATGAGACCCAGGTTTTAATACCTAAGGTGATCTCTTCTACTTTTCCCTCCAGCTGTCCTACCCCAGGGTGTACTGGTTCAGGACATGTTCGGGGAAAGTACTCCAGACATCGAAGGTAAGATCCACCAGTAGCCTCAAAGGTCCCCAGGAAGGAGGTTTGGGGTTCTCTTCCTAAATCTGGGTTCTTTTGTGGATTAAAAACTTTCTGTTTTGTCTGTGACTGCTGAGGCCAGGCTGATCTGACCCTTTTAAGCTCTAGTGTCCTCCTACTGGTCTGAGCTCCTCTTGTACCTTCACTGAGGTGAGCCTGGCCAAGTGTGCCATGAGGGGTGGTAGATTACCTGTCCTTGGCACCTTTGTTTTTCCAGAGGGGCTACTTCAGGACTTGGGTATATCTGTATGGCAGAGCTGAAAGCAGGACTTGTGCACATAGAAAGATAGCATAAACAACGTCTGTCACTATAGTCATTCCCTGTGATCAGCTAGGTTTCCAAGGGAACATTCCTGGGTGGGTATAAGTGTGGAGGGCTGAAGGTGGAAGCTTGGGGGTACATGTGGGATGGTGGTTTGGTCTAAGGAATGGAATTGAGAGTAGCAGTCTAGGCTAGTGGGTCCTAAGTCCTCATTCCATTTGTGGACTTGGCTCACTGTAATATAATTTAAAACACAAACACTTTATTAGATGTAAAAATTTATATACATTAGCATTTGAGGCTTCCATCTGAGAATGGCTATAGAAGGAGGGACCCTTAGAATGTTCTGAATGCCTCAGGGAACTGGCCTGGCTCTTGGCATCACCAATTTTCCCTTTCAGCTTACAGAGTTGCCCTCTGGCCAAGAAGAGAAAACTGGAGGATGCTGAGGCTGAGCACCTGGTATCCAAAAGGAAGTCACACCCTCTGAGGCTGGCTCTGGATGAAGGCTACCGAATGGACAGTGATGGCAGTGAGGATGCCGAGGTGAAGGACGCCTCTGTTTCGGATGAATCAGAAGGACCCCTGGAGGAGGCGGAGGCTGAGATGTCAGGACAGGAGGAGATTCATCACCCCCAGCCAGCTGAAGGTACTATGTTGCTCTTTCTCTTTAGAATAAAGGCTGCTTAGTGTGGCCCTGGAGAATTGCAGCCTGCAGCGGGAGGGGGTAGGGGAAGCTCAACTCAGTGCAGAAAGCTGTCTTGAGAACAAGGAATGTCTTGTCCTGACAAGTGCAGCTTCCTGGAAAGGGGGCCTGCCCAGGATGGGTGTGTGGGTGTGGGGCAGTGTAGTGTGTGTGAACGCTGTGAGCAGGGGAGTGATGGGAAGGTGGATCTGGCACTCCCATGAACTCTCAAAAGTTTTATTCTGAGGCATGTCTCCATGTGTGTGAGAAATAAAGACAGATAATATATGCTGTGTCTCTGTCTGTGAGAGGCTCTTAGACAGAGCCCACACTGCCTGGCCCCTGAGAGCTGACTGACTGGGTTAGATTTAGTTTGGATTTACAAGGGCAGGTACTGAGGAAATACTTCAGTTTAAGATAAATCAGGCCTTCGAAGGAGGGTTTGTCTTAGAAGCCAAGAGAGCAAAGGAGCTGCTAGAATCAACTGACTTTGAACCACTGAGACAGAGTATTCCCATATTTTTGAAGCAATCCATAGTAAGCCCTCATTGGCTTCCTTTTTGGGACTCAAGTGAGTGCATGGGCCATGGAATCAAGTGAGTTTGTGTTCCAGGCAAAAAAGACCCCCAGCTCACCTGGCTCCTATTGTTGCTAAGAATACTGGTTCACGAGTTCCACAGGACTGGCACGTAGAGAAGATCTGTTACTCTGTTTAAAAGATTTAAATTAATTTCCTTTAAAAATATGTGATTTTTCAATTATGAAATGACTTTTCATCTGATTTTACTCTTTAAGTTCCATTATATAAAATGAAGATCTATCTGATTTAAGAAAATAAATGATAGAAGAGGAACATGAATTAAAAAAATATTAAAGCAATCTTAAGCTAAATTATTTCCCCCTGATTTTTGGATCCAGGCAGAAGGCTGGCAGGTGGGATAGGTAGAAGGATGACTACTGTTGGGAACAGAAACCTGGAAACATTCCCCCATGCTCTCTTCTGGCCCTCATGGTGTTTCTTGTTTTATGCAGGAAAAAGCCTCATCAAATCCCATTTTGGATCCAACTCCACAAGCAGCTCTTCTGGCTTCTCCAAAGGAAGCTACAGCAGCTACCAGGGAATCATCGCAACTTCCCTTCTAAATCTGGGCCGAATTGCTGAAGAGACCCTTGTGCAGGAGGATTCGGTCCCAGTAGCTAAGTTGGGCCCCACTGTTGTTCATCAGCTTCAGGATGAGGCTTCAATGGGGGCCAGCAATGATGAAGCTGAAAAGGACCTCTTTATACAGCCAGAGGATGTGGAGGAGGTCATTGAAGTCACCAGTGAACGTTCCCAAGAGCCATGCCCTCAGTCTCTGGAGGATATGGTTAGTGAAGAGTCAAACAAGCAGAAAGGTGTCCTAGGTCATGAGGAGGAGGGAGAGGATGAGGAAGAGGATGAAGAAGAAGAGGAGGAGGAAGAGGAGGAAGGAGAAGAGGTAGAGGAGGAAGATGAAGAGGAAGAAGAGGAAGAAGAAGAGGAGGAGGAAGAAGAGGAGGAAGAAGCAACTCCAAATGTGATCTTTGGGGAAAACACTCCCCCTACCTCTGCCCAGAAGCCTTCCTCTGAGTTCCGAGGCCCAGAGCTATCCAGTCCCAAGCCTGAGTATTCAGTCATTGTGGAGGTCCGTTCTGATGATGACAAGGATGAAGACTCACATTCCCAGAAGTCAGCAGTTACAGATGAATCAGAGATGTATGACATGATGACCCGTGGGAATCTGGGCCTTCTGGAGCAGGCCATCGCCCTGAAGGCTGAGCAGGTGCATGCTGTCTGTGAGCCAGGCTGCCTGCCTGCTGAGCAGGGCCATCTGGGCCCAGGAGAGCCAGGGAAGGTGGCAAAGCCCCTGGATGTGGTGAGGAAGAGCTGCTACAGCAAAGGTAGGTTAAAGTGGCCTGCTCTGATCACCTGCCCTGTCATCCCATTATAATGGACATAACTTTGACTGAGGGTGAAGATGAAGGCTTGGGAGAAACATAGCTTGAAGCCCTTATTGGCTAGGGTGGGAGGAAAATTGAAAAATATTTGAGGGCAAATAACCTCAGAACTTGGGTCAAAGACTGAGGATATGGGCTTATACTGTTTCATGTACGGTGACCTGGAGAGACACATGAGCTGAGATGCATGGGAAGGGGCTAAATAGGAGAGAGCAAGGAAGGCAGGAGGGCTGATAACCCAACTACTGTGCCACTCTGATTGTCCGGTGACAGAACCTGATACTTGATGACTTCAAACCTTAAAAGCTGTTGCTTGAACCCATATTTGATCATCCTGATCACCTTCTACACGGAGTTAGGACCTTCATGCTGACTTAAGACACATCTCCCCTGCTCCTCTGAGGTCACAGCCTATTGCTAGTTCTGCACTGTACTTGGATTTCTCTCTGAAGTCTGGGTTTAGGGGCAGAATCACCTAGCTTCTCTGAGTAGTTGATGTTTAGGAGAGGGTATTCCAGGCTGGGCAAGTGGAAGTGATTTTGTCTGGATTGATATAAAAGAGAGGCTGGAACCTGAAATCAGATCTAAGGGCTGGACTTTGACATCTAAGGATGGACTTTGAGCAAGTGGTATAGCATAGTTACAACACAAGTACCAGATCTGTAGGGTGGGATGGCCATGTGCTTCTTGCTACCTACTTATCTCAAGTGCCTCCTTGGCCCAGAGCAGGTGTGTGGAGCTTCTCCCCAGGCACCTTTAGACTATGGAAATATATACATGTTGACATGTGGAGAGATAGACATTAAGATTGTTGGAGTCAGATGGGTATTGGGCACAGGGTTGAGTCCCTCAGGATATCACCACTTCCCTGGATTGGTAGAAATAGGACTTCCTACCCATTTGAACTTGGAGAGACTGAGCAGGCCTTCTTTCTTCTGCTGGATTTCTGAGCTTGGTTCTGGCATTTATCAAAAAGATGCTTCTCTGAGACATCATGAGGACCCTCCATTTCCTTCTGATCTCCACACTTAGTAGCCAACACAGGCCTGTAGGGGTGAGGTTGGCAGCTGAAATCTGGAGTTTAAATTTCTGATCAGATATTTATTAGTGATACAGCTTTGGATAATTTGTGACCTGTGTCATCTTCATCTTGCCAAGCCTCAAGCAGTCCTTTTCTAGGGGGTGTTGATAGATACTTTACCTTCAAGGCTTACACAGGGCCTACATCCAGTTACTGTCTATCCTGCTATATGGGGTGGAAAGGGCACTCCTTGGGCTTTGGAGCAGTTTTTCTAGTGCTGCCTCACTGTCAGCCCCTGTCTTTCTTCAATCAGTAAAAGTGGAGACAGGAATTGTCCCTAACTCTCCTTTTCCAGTTTCTTGGCTTTGCATAATCTGTCCTATGTGTTTTAGATCCTTCCAGGGTGGAGAAGCGTGAGATCAAGTGTCCGACACCTGGCTGTGATGGCACTGGGCATGTTACTGGGTTGTATCCTCATCACCGTAGCCTGTCTGGCTGTCCCCACAAGGATAGAATCCCTCCAGAGAGTGAGTAGCTCCATGCATGGTTATCCCAAGGATTAAAGCTCTGGGTCCTGTGATATAAGACAGGGGACAGTCTGCTCAAGAGTTCACCTTCAGATACCAGCCTGACTCAGAAGACTAAATAAATACATACTGTGGGAGGCATTGTCTGTATTGCTTGAGCTGGGAAGGGGGAGGCTTAGGATGTGGATGTCTGTCCTTATTCTTAGGCTAGAAGTAGAATTATGAAAATTAAGTTCAGAGTTGTGGATCAGAAATTAGAGTCTAGTTTCTTCTATGGGAGGCAGGGTCCAAGTGGGAAGGGCATGCCTGACTGCGCCCTACTTAAACAGCTGCAGTCTTCACATAGAACTTCTGCACCTTCTTTGAGCTGTTCTCTATTACAGTCATGCCTGCTCTCATTATTTGTTCTCCCTGGTTCTCTTACAGTCTTGGCCATGCATGAAAATGTGCTGAAGTGCCCCACGCCTGGCTGCACGGGCCAAGGCCATGTGAACAGCAACCGCAATACCCACAGAAGGTAGTGAATTGAGCTGGGACATGGTAGGGAATTAGAGCTGGGCCTGTAGCATATGTCCCTGCCTGGGCCTCGAGCCCTTATCTGGGATGGCCTCTGGACAGACATATCTCCCTGCTTTGGCAGGTGGCAGCTGAAGGGGTGGCCATTCACTTGTGTTGCTGCAAGTGGCCTGTGAATGGAGGTGATCATATGAGAAGTCTGATACTGTTGTGATGAGAGAAAGTGGAGACCATGTCTTGCCCATTTTCAGAAAACCTGTGCATACCAGCTCTTGCTCATGGGTGAAAGGAAAAACTTGAACATCAATAGGAAGGCCAATGCCCAGAGTTATTTTGAGGGAGTGGTGAGATCAGGTGGACACGGGGCTTCCAGACTACTGTCCAGATCTATTTGTTGTCTTATCTTACTCAGGAGGGGACAGGCCATGCCACACCAAGAGTGTTTTCAGGCTTGGTAAAGTCTGTCTGGGCCCTAGAAGTTATGTGTTTAGTTGGGCGGAATACCTGGGCTTTAGAGACCACTTTGTTGGAAAATAGTCTGTGTTCCTTAGAGATGTGCTGGCCCAGAAGCTGGTAGCTGAGCTCACAGTAGATCCTGGGGAGGGTGAGCATACTCCAGGGCAGTACCTAGGTTGTGGTCTGAGTATAGCCTTTGGTTTCCCTGAGATATGCTACAGAATATGTAGGCATGATTCTAGAATCCAGCCCAGGCACTGGAAAGAGCAGAGGAGAGAGATGAGGAAGAAGAGGGAGAAGAAGGAGAAGAGGGCTGCATTTGCCTACAGTTTGTGGAACTTTAGGGTATATTTCATTTTCTGTGAATTATCCCAAAAGAAATGGCCCCGAGAGTTTGTCCTTTGTGGGGTCAGGACAGACCTGGACAGATAATCTATCCTGTAGAAATGACAGGTGTGTTACTGGCTCTGGGCTTTATGTGCCTAGAGATCTTATATCTGAATGGTGTTGCTCCCAGGATCACATATTTGGCAACCTGGCATAAGCATGTCTTGGAGGGAAAAGGCTCAGATGTCTCTCCTTTTCCTTCCTCTAGTTTGTCTGGGTGTCCCATTGCTGCTGCTGAAAAATTAGCCAAATCTCATGAGAAGCAGCAACTGCAGACAGGAGATCCTCCCAAAAATAACTCCAATTCAGATCGGATCCTCAGGTGGGTGAGATAAGCTACTAAACTGAAGGAGTGTCAGCAGGGACTTCAATGTTAGGGCTTTGTGGTGTGTTGTGTGCCTCTTGGCTCACAGGGCACATCTTTTGCACTTAAAGAGCCTCGTTCAAGGTGCAAACAGCTGCCTGACCTTAGCTATTCTAAGACAGCTGATATAGTCAGTGAAACTATTCAGGGTTAGTATGTGAAGATAGCACAGTGCACCAGTTGAGGGCCTCGCTATAGGGGGAACATCTAGTTGTCCTTATGTCTCCCCACTTCAGAATGGATCCTATCCTAGGACAGAGGGAAGGAGGGCACAGGACTTGCTCCCCTGAGTGCTGCCTCCTGTGGGTACTAAGCATCTGAGACAACAGCAGACATTGGTGCATGTAGGTGTGTGCATGTCTTTATATATGTACACCTGTATGGAAAAGTTTACACATGGATTCAAGTGCATGTGTGTGCATGCTATCATTAGGGGCCTTCTGAGAGAGCAATCAGAACAAATCTGCTTAGTGACTTTCCATATAGTTAACCTTGGAAATAAGGTTACAAATAAGGTCAGAGGCTTGGGGTCATGTCCAAGACACCATTCCTGGATGGCTTGTCTTCAAAGACTTCTTTGAAATCAACTATAGTCCCATGCTGGGGCTGGAGGCTCATTTGAGTCACTGAGAGTACACTGTCGTCTTTGGTCCTCACTAGCAAGATATACAGCTCTCCATTTTCCTTAAAATGTAGAACTCACAACTCATTCTCTCTGTTCCTTGGACTTCTGTTCCATGTTTCTCTTCTCATACATAGTGTGGGAGACAGGACCATGTACTCAGCAAAGTCTGACTTGGTACTATTGCCACCTTGCAGGACCCCTGATCAGAGGCTTCCTTCTTGGCCGCTTTCCTTGGCAGTGCCATACCCTGGTCATTCCCTAGCCCATTCCAGAGGGACCTTCAGTCACAAACTACAGCTTAGGGGGGATAGGGACTTACTTTTCTACTTTGTGGAGTATCTGTGTCCCATCCATAGACACCTTTGACATGGTAGGTTCCAGGTAGCATAGGTGTCTATCTTATTTGTTCTTCCTTCCAGTTTCTTGCCAGTTGCCAGATAATCCTTTCACCAAAGAGTGACACCAATGTAGAGGTCAAATTAAATGTCTCCTTGCTGGTATCAGACGGTCTTGCTCTTGCAACTTCACCAAGAGTTGCTGAGCCTAGTGTCCAGCCTAGGATTCACTCCCTAACAGGGCCCTCCACCAGTGCTCCAATGTGATCACCACAGGAACATAAGAGTGGTCTTACAGTATCAACCTGCTGGTTCTCTCCTTATGCCACATTTAAGTGTTTGAGGTCCTCACCATCATTCCCAAGTACCACAGATCACTGAAATCACTGCTTATTCTCTACAGGAGCAAGGAGAGTTGGGGCACTTGTTGGAGCTCTCGTCCCCCTTCCATTTCCCCTCCATTCTAAGCTTCCTGTTCAGAAACACACTTATTGTGTGGCTGAACTCTTGGATCCTGCTCTTTTACAGTTTGAGGAAAGTTTAGACTTGCTACTTTGACATACTATTAGCATGAAAACACTCTATTTCTTTTGGGTTCTATTGTTCCCTCCTTGTAGGCAACTATTAACACTGATTATAAGCCTATTTCTGGTGCCCTTCACCCTGGGAGGCAGAATTCTAGCCAAAAATTAGGGGCAGGGTTTTGGGTGTGTGTTGTGTATCTCCCTGTGTTTTCCTTATCACCTGGCTGCATGAAGTCCTGGCTTGGGCACTGGAGGGTGGGGGGAGAGGTGGCGTGGGGTCTCTGGGTCTCAACCTCACAGGCTCTGCATCTCTGTCTCACACCCAGGCCCATGTGCTTTGTGAAGGAGCTGGAGGTTCCTCCTTATGGGAGCTACCGACCCAGTGTGGCTCCCGCCACGCCCAGGGCCAACTTGGCCAAGGAGCTGGAGAAGTTCTCCAAAGTCACCTTTGACTACGCAAGTTTTGATGCTCAGGTTTTTGGCAAACGTATGCTTGCCCCAAAGATTCAGACCAACGAAACCTCACCCAAAGCCTTCCAATGTAAGTCGAGGAGAATTGTTTAATGTCTCCCCTCTCACATTGCTCCTGAGGGACAGTGGGGGAGGAATTTTCTTGGGAGTTCGGAGGGACAGGGTGTGGGCCTGAGTTCTCACCACTTCTTTACCTGTCCCAATGGGCCGGTTGTGGCATCCTTAGGGCCTACATCTTACTTTTCCATGTTTACTCTGAACCTTTATGTGTTTCCTAATAATTTATGAAGAAAATCATGGGTCTGTTATGGGTGTGTGTGGCCAGAGGCTTGAGAATTACTTCACTAATGTGATCTGCCCTAGCGTGTCCACTTCCAGCAATACCTCTAAGGAGGATCCAACAGAATAGGGTGGTAATGTGCCAAGAATCTTCTTGGTCGAATAGGGACCATCTTACTGGAAATGGTATTGTCTGTGACATTAGCCACACATTTCAAGGTCAGTTTTATTGAAAAAAGTAATTTCTGGAAATATTCTAGAACAATCATCCCTGCCTTTTCTTGCCACTTACCTCACTTCTTTGTGGTTAACCTTGGAAATGCATGAAAGATAGAAAAGTACCCTGTGCCCTAGAGGGATCTTGACTTTTCCCAGTTGATCTTGTCAAATCCACAGACAGCAGGAACAAGTTTCCAAGTTATTAGGATTACAGTTCTTAGGGTTGGTGGCCCTTGGGATGAGTTTTTTTTCTAGACTCCAGCAGATTCTGCTGGCCATGCTCAAGTGTCTCAAAGAATATTCACTTGCTTAGAAGCTGTGATGGCATTTCTGGGGAGGGACTCAAAAATAGTTTTCCACTTGTCTGAATCTTTCTGGAAATATCAGTGATTTCTTGGTTACTCACAATATCACTTCTGAGAATGATTTTAAAGCTACAGCGTAATTGATTATTAGGAAAGATAACACTATACCTTCATTTATGGTATCCTACTTACGCCTTGTTGCTTTATTAAGGTAGCAAAAATTATTAGGAACATAAAGTCACCGAAAGTGTAGCAGCATCTTATGATACGATGGGACAAAATTTTCTGTGTGTATGGTATTCCAAATACGTATCCTATCTACAGAATTATTTAGCCTCTAAGTATTTGTTGATGGACAAGATATTTGCTTGTTTGAAATTACCAAGTCTGTTGAGTATATTTCTAGAATTTTATTATTTCTGCCCAAACTTTCTTTTATCATATCAGAAATGAGATGCCTCTTTAGTCCTGGAGACAAGAGCAGTAGGAAGAGTGTGTGATGATGTGAGAACACTATGCCTTGACTCCTAGATCTCTCCCCACTTACTGCTGCCTCTGTCTAAGTCTGTGCAGTCTGGGCTGTTCCCTTTTAGCTTTCAACCTTTACCCAAATCACCTCCTTCAGGTGCATTCCCACTTCCCAGTGACTTTATGAGAGTATTTTATCTTCTCCAGGCTTTGATTACTCTCATGATGCTGAGGCTGCACACATGGCTGCCACTGCCATTCTGAACCTCTCCACTCGATGCTGGGAGATGCCAGAGAACCTCAGCACAAAGCCACAGGACCTCCCCAGCAAGGTGAGCACACCCTTCTGAAGCCCTTAGGGGAGAGAAGATTAGGAGCAGTTTATACTGAGAAATTTACAGTAAGGAAAAGGCTGGTGTCAAGAACAACTGGGAACTAGTTGATGTTTATTTTAAAATATTATGCACGTATGTGTGTGCCTGCATGAGTCTATATGCATCATGTGTGTGCAGGTGCTCAGAGCAAGAGGGCATCAAATACCTTTGAACTGCAGTTATAAGCTGTTGTGAGCTGCTTCATATAGATGCTGGGAATTGAACTAAACCTGGTTCTCTGCGAAAGTAATACGTGCTTTTAATCACTGAGACATCTCTCTATCCCTTAGTTGGTATTTTTTTTATTACCTTTAGCCCCTCTGATCATGGCTCAGGTAATCCAAAAAAGTAGATGAGTGACCATGAAAAGAGTTGGAGTGCTGTGCAACTCAAGGTCAGGCTAATGCCATGTCCTGTGTTCTCTTCTGGAAGCTGATAGTAACTGACATATCTTGGAGTAAGAGACCTGTTCTCACTCAAGCTTGTGGTGGTTTCAAGAGGTTGACTTCCTAATCTGCAGAGGAGAGTGGGACTGTAGGGCTTCTTCACGTGAAGTGAGGATGTGGTTCTTTTCTCTCAGCAGATCACATTCTCAGGAAGGGGCTCAGTTCGCCAACCCATATTCTTAACCTTTGTATTTACAGGCTGTGGACATTGAGGTAGATGAAAATGGAACTCTGGACTTGAGCATGCATAAACATCGCAAGCGGGAAAGCAACACTTTCCCCAACAGTGGCAGTTGCGGTAACAGCCCTGGTGTCAAGTCTCCTGATGTCTCTCAGCGCCAGAGCACTACCAGTGCCCCCAGCAGTTCCATGACCTCACCCCAGTCCAGCCAGGCATCCCGCCAGGATGAGTGGGACCGTCCCCTAGACTACACTAAACCCAGCCGCTTTCGCGAGGAAGAGCCTGAGGAGGTTGGTGCCAGGGCCCCGTGTGTAGCCTGAGTGTAGGCTTGCAGTTGCTTTCAGGGCTACTGTGAACACTGTTTTCTTCTTAGATATCTTTTCCTTGCGAGGTTCACATAGAGACCCCTAGATCTGTCTCTTTTCACACAGGATTCTTCATCTTCAGAGCATCTGAAATTCAGGTTACAGTCTCCACCAAAGGTTTCACCTGCACTGTTCAGTCTTGTTCCATAAAGAGGGTGGGTCCTCTCACCTCTGTAGAATTTAGTGGCTAGCAACAATGTAGACTTTACAAAGAGGAGAGGGATGTCTCATATTTCATGGAGATGATTAGGGAAAATCTTGTTTCCTTCATTTTGTGAGCTTTTCATCAAAAGCTTAGCTCTGGTCTCCCCAGGCTTCATTGCTTCCCTTCCCCAGCATATTCCATCAAACACAGTTGCTGTCCAGAGTTGTTTGATGCCTGGTTCCTTGGACTATGCAGTGAGGAATTCCTGACACAGGGGCATTGGGCTTGGGAGTCCTTGTGGTGGGCAATGGCCCGAATCCCCAAAACTCAGGATTGCTCCATTTTGGGTGGGATAGACTGGGCTCCTGGTCTAGTTAACAGCCCCCTTGGGTCTCACTAATGGAGCCCTGGAGTGTGCACTCATGGTAGGGAAGTACACATCTATCTGACTCTGTGGAAACCAAATCATTCTTGCACCCGACAGGAGCCCTAGTAGAAGCAGGGGTGCCCTCTATGTAGTATCTTCACTGTCTTCTCTCTTTCTTGGGCCTAGATCTTTGCAAGATTCATGCTTTACTTCCAGGGTTAAGTTGTTCCCTGGTCTGCTAAACATGACTTCTCAACTTCTTTCTTAGGTTGTGGGTTGGTGGATGTTTTGGTACCCCTACCTGCCTTTTCCTTAGCTCTAGTTCAGCTCTGGTCTTTTTATTATATTACATCAGCATATCCTCTTGAAACATCATTGTCTTCCCTGGAATGAGCTGCCATTTGTAGTGGGATCTCCGAGGTCCTAAGATCCACCTGTTGAGGCCTGTCCCGTGCCCCATCGGCAGCCTTTGCCAATTGTCCACAAACCTTTCCTCACCCAACATTTCCTAGTCATATTTAACCCCCAAAAGCTCTTAGGGTAGGCCTTCCCCATCCCTCTCCCTCTGCCCTGGATTACTTACTTAGACCCTCCTCCTTATTTCAGTCCTGCCCAATGGCTCACCAATTTTGATAGCAACTGTCCTGAGCCCCTTTTGTCCAGGGCCTCTATTTCCTGGCTTCACTGACCTTGAAGACTTGTCTTAGTGTGTCCTTCTGAGGACCTTTGACCAGTTGCTCAGGCAAACAAATCGCTATCCTAGAGCTTTGTTTAGTGACAAGAATCATAATAGCTACTGCAGGTCAGCTTCCCAGAGCTGCTTTGTGGACTGCGGTTTCACAAATTTCACTTATTTGAGGGTTGCCTCATTTTAGATATAGTGCCTGAATAGCCTGTTAAAACCTAAAGTAAGTTGGTACATCCCCAGAACGTGAAATCTGGTGTACTTGTCTTGCTAAAAGAAGTTAGTCTAAGGCTGTAGGACCCCGACTTCCAATGGAAGAGTTGTTGTTTCTCACTCCCTGTGCCACACCCATGAGTCTTTGGGTCAGAAGATACCCACAGGCCCACAGTTGAGTTAGTGGTGTTTGTCAAGTGTCTGATCTGGCCAAGGCATCAGAGCCATCTCAAGCTTATTATGATTATCATTAAGCTACTAGTATGTTATCTAGCTTAGCTTTGGGATACATCAGCAACCTTATTTAGTGTCTGCTGATAGTTGAGCTTTAAAAATACTGCATTCAGGTGTTCATTCAGTGGTAATTTGGTGGAGGTTGACCCAAGTCAAGTGCCCTGGCCTTCCTAGTGTGATCTTCTGTCTTGAGGTAGGAAGGCTTTCCTCCCTCTTTCATAAGGCAAAACATTTTATGGATGCTACTGAAGGGTCCCTCTTTGTTGCCCACTGTGTTGGATTCCTGGCTTCCTTGCCAGTTGTTAAAATATTCCCTGCTGGTTTGTTTTTGTTTTTTTTGTTTTTTTGTTTTTGTTTTTTTCAGTCAGAGCCAGCAGCACATTCTTTTGCTTCTTCTGAAGCAGATGATCAGGAGGTGTCAGAAGAGAACTTTGAGGAGCGGAAGTACCCAGGGGAAGTCACCCTGACCAACTTTAAGCTGAAATTTCTTTCCAAGGACATAAAGAAGGAGCTTCTCACGTAAGTGCTGCTTTGGCAGATTGGCTTCCCAGGAATCTTGGGAAAGCAGGTCTGGTCCCAGAACTCAGCAAGCACCTAGTTCCAGGTAGTTTACAGTGTCGTGTTTTCTGTCAGCTCTGCACTGAGGTGACTATGAACATGAACCTCTGAAAGCAATTAAGAACCAGGAAGCTCCTCTGGCCCTGCCCACAATACAGAACAGAATAGGGCAAGATGAGGATTGTAGTCACAGGCAGAGAGGTCCATAAACACCAGCTCTCAGCTCTGGCAGCTGCTGGACCTCAGACTGGACACAAGCAGAACTTTTTAATTAATCTCCAATGCCACATGTCCTTAAAAGACTATGAAGGGTTGGGGGAGGATTGAAGGGGAGCAGAGAGGCAGGGAGGGGAGCAGAGAAAAATGTAGAGCTCAATAAAAATCAATTAAAAAAAGACTATGAAGTGCTATGCCTAGAACTTTTTCCACTAGTGATCTAACCCTTACCTGTGCTCATAGCTAGTTTTATGGAGGATATAGGGATCCTCCTTTCCTTAAACTGCACCCCACTAAGTTTCTTTCTACCTTGGTATCCTGCCTTTCCAGAGTGGCTGGATCTATGTTCTCACTCTCAGAGAAGATTGTGCTGTTTAGGAGCTGGAGAAGGGAGGAGTGCCCCCCACGTGTTCATGAGTACACATTTGTACACATAACATGCATATGAAAATACAGCACTTATGCTTCAGAGGCATCCTTACTTCAAGTTCCCTTTCCTTCTTGAGTTAAGTCGTGTAGGAGAAATTTCCAGTCCCAGAAGTGAGGGCTGTGATCTGAGGATGTCCACCTGCCCTTAGTTTACTTGTTCTGGGGGAAGGCCTGCAGGTATGTATGGTCCTCTGTCCTGATGCTCTTTTTCTTTTGTTCAGCTGTCCCACCCCTGGCTGTGATGGCAGTGGTCATATCACCGGGAACTATGCCTCCCATCGCAGGTTCGTGCCCTGCTCCTCTGGCCTGACTCCAGTGCTTTGTGTGTGTGAGTTTGGGGGTATCTTTCTCCTCATCTTCTTTGCTCCTCTCTATGGCTCACCCCATATCCCATCTCTTCTCTTTCAGCCTCTCTGGTTGCCCTCTTGCTGACAAGAGCCTCAGAAACCTCATGGCTGCCCACTCTGCTGACCTCAAGTATGTTTGCGCTCCCTGACTGCCTATTTCTTGGGCAGCTCCCTGGCTTTGCTCTCTCTTTTATGAGGCTCCTACCAAGTCAGCCTTCTCTAAGACACCATCCCAGGCTGGTCCTGCTTTCCTGGGATGGGGAAGAGGAGCAGGGCTTGAAAGGGATGACTCTGCTTGGCTGGGCTGTTGTCCTTGCACCTGTGACCCTGCTTTGAGCAGTCTGACCTCTAAGCACTGTCCATCTCACTTCCTGTACCGCTCCAGGTCTTTCCCACTCCAGAGAACTCGGACAGGGCTGCCGGGCCTGCTTTTCCTACTACCATTCTAAATACCGAGAAAAGCTGGAACTTAACCATGGCTTAGTGGCTACAGGCTACGGGGCTCTTGTCAAAAAAAAAAAAAAATCACTAAAGTGCCAGAGAATGCTCCTTGCTTTCCTTCTCCCATGCCTTGGCTGCTGTTTCTCCCTGGTGTCCTCCCAGCCCTACTCAATGTTCTTGCCTTCTCTTTGTTGTTCCTCTCCATGCTTCTGTGCCCCTCTGCCAAACACTTAGGCAGAGCAGGTTCTGTGGAAATCCACAACTGTCAGTTTCCCTGATAGTCCTCAGAAGTGAGGAGCAAGTACCCAGAGCTTTCCAGGCATCTGTTCTCTTGGAGCTGGAGCTGGGGCCTCCATTGTTTTTGGTTTTCATTTTCTCTGTTGACCTGTGACATTATAGCCTCCATGACCCTGAGCTGTGATTACCTTGTCCAGGAGACCAGAGTTGAGGAGAAACCTTGATACTGGGAGATACTGTCCTGTTCTTCTGTTCCTCACAGCAGGACCAGGCCCCTCCCTCTCACAGTCCTTTTGGACAGGTGTTCTGAATCTAGGCCAAAACTCACTGAGTCTGTTTGGGGAACAGACGGGTGATGGATACTGGAGCTAGAATGCTGACAGCAAAAGGGACTTGCGCTGATTTATGGTTGGACAGAAATTTTTGGGTTTCCAGTACCCACTCTGCGTTTCACGCTAACCAGCTCCATTTCTTCTGGAAGTGAATGTCACGTTCATACCTTGTAGACTCATATGCTTTCTCACTTACATACAACACTGAGTCTAGTCCTGAAACTCAAAGTTAGAGAAGAGTCCTGTAGGCTCAGTGAACACCTCCCCACAGTTTTTTATTATCTTTGTATTTATTATATTTGTATTCTTACCTACCCTCACACCTATTTTTATATCCAATTCTGCTTCCTTTTCCAATTATGATTAGGGTTCATGGATTTCCAACACAGGGCCTCGAGAACTCTCTGTTTCAGGATATAACCGAACATTGGATTGAGGGCTAACAGGAGGAAACTTGACTGATACAGCCCTGGGAGGGTCTGCACTATAAATCTGTGAAAAACTTCAACACAAAACTTCTGTGGGCACAGCAGAGGAAAGTCTCCTTGCAAGGGTGGGCGTCTCAGGTGTCCCCACTGCCTCCAAAGCTTTTATTGTCTCAGAGCTCTTTCTGGGTCCATTGCCTCACTGCTCAAGACTCCAGAAGACTCTTAGAAGAAGGTGACCATGACCTATTCCACACATTTCCTGATACCCCAGTGCTCCTGGGATCCTTGTTCTGTCTGGGTGGGCATCAGGCTGGCCAAAATGGTGCAAATGCAGTTCTTTTTGTGGCCTCCGTATAAACGGGAAAACAAAGACAAGCTCAGGCATGTTCTCTGTTTTTAAGCAAGTTCCAGGGTCATTTACTCTCCTTTGTATGAACAGGGGCTGCCTTGAGATGCTCAGTTCACATGGTAGGAGTATACATACTATGTATGTATATGTATATACACACATATACATACTACCCTACACTGTGGAGGCATATCAGGCTATAATGAGGGTGGGCAACACCTCTGCAGCACAGGAATGAGGCACCGAGGGAGATCTGAGATGTCACCATGGCAGAATCATTACTTAGGTGTAAATTGTTCCTTCTTTACAAGCAAGACAGTTAGAAGCAGATGATAGACAGGGTGAAGGCAGTTCTAGCTCTTGTGGCAGCTTCCATAAGGAACATATGGAAAATACCTAGTCCTCTTAGCTTGTGGACGCTGTCCTCTTTGAGCACAACTTACAGGAAAGCCATCAAATAACACATTAGCAAGGAATACAGAGCATTCTCCTGTGTGCTAGGCACCTGCCTGTTCTCTGGGAGCCGTAGACCCTCCCAAGACTCACTGGTGATATTGAGTATATCTGCATCTTACCCTGATGCCACTCATAACTCAGGCCTGGGTTGCTATGTGGTCACTGGGTGACCCCTACTTTTTGTTCTAAACCTCTGATGGATGCTTCCTTGATATGAAGACAAGGAGCAGGAGCTCTGGTCCTCAGACTGAGCTTCTTCCCACTAAAAGGAGAAACAAACTATTTTTATTTCCATGTACTTGGACTTCTGGAAAGGAGGGCCACCATGGTGGTAAAGGTAGCAGCTATACCATTATATGGCCTCATGAAGACTAGAAAGAAAGATTTGGGTGGGTCAACTGCCTGATAAACAAAGAAGCACTGTGAGGGACACAAAAGTCTGGACAGACACACAGAGAAAGATCTGAGGGGTCAGAAAAAAAATCACAAGAACTGGTGTCAGCTGTTCCATCCTCTGGAATGCCAGACTCCTAGCTTTTGTCCTTCTTATAAAAAATACTGCGTTCCAAAGGTCAGAGAATGGATACAGAAAGTCAGACGCTTCCCAAGGCTAGGGTGCCATAGAGCAACACTTTGGATAACCAACACCAAATGCTGTTTCCCACAAGATGGCGCTGTACTTAGGGGCAAGATGCAAAGCAGCCGAGCTATGGGTCCACCTCTAAGTCAATCCCATTCAATCAACACCTGCTGTCTTTTTCCATTTGGAAGAAAATAACTCAAGAAAAGTCCATGTTCATAATACTAAAGTTTAATTTCTACCACTTTATGGAATATGTTCATGAATTTTGTACTTCGTGTTTCCGATTTTGCCCTTGCTGGGGTCCATCAACCAATAAAAATCACTGGCTGAGTTCTACATTCACCAAGCAGGAATCAGTGGCCATACAGTGGGTACTCATGGGTACCTCTCTGAGTTCTTATGATTAGACCTAAAGTTTAGATGTGTTCTGGATAACCAGATGTGACTGGAACCCAATAAAAGTCTAAGCTGGGAGCCCACAACCTCCTTTGGATGCAATGAAAGTAGACCGTACCCTGTGCCCTCTCTTGGTGTCCGGTATAAAGCTGATCTCATTCAGCTGCTCTTCTCTTGACTTTCTGGGCTCCACTAGGAGTGGCTGGGCTTCGTACTGAGTCTGTGAAATGACCTTATTGATACTGAAAACTTGTTGCTGGCAATGGCAGGCTAAGGTATGTGATGCTCTTTTGCAAAGAGGTGCAAAATTGGGGGATGGTTGTTTGAAGGACTTAGAGCTTATAATGATGATGGATTCATTTGAGAGCTGAGTCCAAAGAGGCAAATAATCTTTATGGGCTCTGGTCTCATCTTATGTTTCTCTGCAGGTGCCCCACACCTGGCTGTGATGGCTCTGGCCACATAACAGGGAACTATGCTTCACACCGGAGGTGAGTGGGACCAAGGGTAGTGATGAAAGTTCTGACTTAGACAAAGTTCTAATGTTCTGAATAAGATATTAAAGTTGCCAGCAACTAGAGTCCACTTGCATCTCTTTTGATTTGTTGGTGCTTCCAGAATTGTTAGGTATCCATATGCAGTAAAATCAAAAAACAAAGTATCAGATTAGAAGCTCCTGAAGATGTTTCCCACTTCTGATGGTTCTGTTGCCCTGTTTGAAGGTTGTGTAAGAGCCAGCTCTGTTCCATAAGAAAGCATAACTGACAAGTCAGCTGACTGATTGATCCTTTCTTCCCTCCTTCCCACCCCCACAGGGGGCCACAGAACTTGAGGGAGTAGCGTGAGGCAGACAGTGAGGGAGCTGCTGTTCTGGGACTGAGGTGGCATATTTTCCTCTTTCAAAACCAGTTTGTCAGGCTGCCCACGTGCCAAGAAGAGTGGACTCAAGGTGGCGCCTACCAAGGATGACAAGGAGGACCCCGAGTTGATGAAGTATGTAGGGCTATACTGGCTTCTTCATTGTTTTGAAAAATTGAGGGTTTTTGTATGTTATAACTAAACAACAACAAAAAAATCAAAATAATGCCTTTTGAATACAAATCTGGGACCCCAGAATCTGGGAGGTTAGAAGCAGGATCATTGAGTTTAATCCTTCCTGAGCTAGTGAGAACCTGTCTCAAAACCAAAACAAAATGAAACAACTTATTCCTTACACTTTTCCTCACATCTGGCCATTAAATTGATTGATGATAATATTCATTTTTACGGAAGAACTGGAACCTGACACATTGTTTCCTGGATATTGAACCCAGAGCATGTTATCTGGGTTCAGGTCTGAGGTATTTTGGTGGGACTTTGGGAAGTTAAGCGCCCTACTGCCCTGACATGGTTCTGGGATCCCTTATATTTTGTTTGACAAGAAGGCTCAGGTGTTTTAGAGGGCACTACATTAGGAAGATATTGCATCTTTGAATATCATGGGTCTGATCACCAGCATATCTGTCTAAAGCAGTGGTTCTCAACCTTCCTAATGCCTTGACCCTTTAATATACATTTCATGTTGTGGTGATACCAAATCACAAAATTATTTTTGTTACTACTTCATAACTATAATTTTGCTACTGTTATTAATTATAATGCAAATCTCTGTTTTCTGGTGGTCTTGGGCAAATCTTGTGGGTCATTCAGCTCACAGGTTGAGAGCCCTTTGTCTAGAGCTGGTTAAGCAGGACAGTCTGGAAGAGGTAACACTGGAAACTGGACCCAGCACAGGGACTAAAGAGTATATACTTGGTCTTTATTTTCTCCCCTCTACAAATTGTTTTCTTTTTTCTGAATATCAGTTAGATACAGAGTATAAATTCTCTAGCTTACCAGTGAAAGGTTGTTCAGTGAAGTAAACACTCATAGCTAGTATTTTGTCCTTAGCTTGTGCTAAGGTATGGTCTATCTGATGCTGGGGGAGTTTTGTTTTTTGAGACAGGGTTTCTTTGTGGAGCCTTGCTTGTCCTGGAACTAACTTAACTCTGTAGACCAGACTAGCCTCGAACTCACAGACATCTGCCTGCCCTTGCCTCCCAAGTGCTGGGATTAAAAGTGTGAGCCACCACCATTTACCTGGGGTAATTTTTTAAAAAGTAGTTCTTAAAAGCTGGGCCACTTTTAATCCTAGCACTTTGAAAGCAGAGACAGCAGATTTCTGTCATTTCAAGTCTAACCTAGCCTGGTCTTCAGAATATTTTATATCTCTGTGCTTGAAAATTTGAACTAGATGAGAGGTGATAAGTATGGTTTGGTTGTCAGGAGTAGATATTGGCTTTTAGAAGGACACATGTGTATGTTCATACACATGAAAAAAATCTTTTTGCTGTGGGACAATGATCTTTTATCCTGTCACTTGTATTATTTTTAATAAAATGCTGATTGGCTAGTAGCAAGACAAGAAGTATAGGCAGGGAAAACAGGCAGGAAGTAGAGGAGGGGCGAGGAGAACAGGAGAATTCTGGGAAGATTCAGTTGGCAGTCATTATCCAAACACAGAGGAAGCAAGATGTGACTTCCTCGCTGAAAAAGGTACCAAGCCACGTGACAAGAATTATGGGCTAATATAAGTTATAAGAGTTAATAAGAAGCCTGAGCTAATAGGCCAATTAGTTTATGATTAATGTAGACCTCTGTGTGTTTCTTTGGGACAGAAACCTCTGTCAGCATCTTTTTGGTTGTGAGCCTAACCTTTAACGGCTGAGCCATCCCTCCAGGCCAGCATCTTTTTATTGAGTGAAAATAATAGTCTTCTGATCTAAGACTATGATCTATGATAATACCTCTTGGCTTCATCTTAGTTCTTGGTTTCTTTCCCCATGGAGTGTTATTTTATGACCATCTTTCATGCCCTGGTCAATATAAAAAATATTCTCTCAAACTGCCTTCTTCCCATTGCAGCTTTTGCATCTGTCCTTAGAACTTACCTATTTTCTGTGGCACTGACTTACCATTAACACAGGCAGAGCTTGTGGAACCATTCCCTCTATCAGATAACTCCTTATATGCATTCCAATAATTCCTTTCTTACCACCTTGGTCTAAATGTCTTTTACAAATCCTTTTGCAGAGTCATTTGTTGTTGTTGACCATTCTATAAATCTCCTGAAATTATTGAGAGCCGATGAATAACATTTGTAACTCTCCTTTCTCTCTGTATCTTTCTTCTTAGTCCTCAAAATACATAGAAGATATCCATTGGGGAACTAAAACCATCACCTGCTTTACCCATTTAGATTGCTTATTTTATTAATTTATTATATTAATTATATATATTTCTTATCTTTTCCTATTTATTTTTTTATATTCATTTTATTACCTATTATAATTTTCCCCAATTAGGAATCAGAGACAACTTTTAAGCTTGGAGACTTTGTTTTAACATTTCTTCATTTGGTATTAGGGTAGAACTTCAAGACTACTTTCCTATAATCCGTTTTCATTTTTCCTTGAAGAAAGTAAAAGCCTTCTTTCATGATTTGCTATAGCCAATGCATGGGTTAGAACTTCAATGGGGGGAACAGAAAATAGATCATAGCAATGTACCATTACCTTACCAGGGGTTCCAGAAAGTTCCCATATCTTTTGTGGTTATTTTTTCTTTTTCTTTTATTTTTTTTTAAATTTATTTATTATGTATACAGCATTTTGTCTGCATGCCAGAAGAGGGCATCAGATCTTATTATAGATAGTTATAAGCCACCATGTTATTGCTGGGAATTGAGCTCAGGAGCTCTGGAAAAACAGCCAGTGCTCTCAACCTCTGAGCCATCTCTCCAGCCACCAAGATTTATTTAGTTTATGTATAGGAAAGGTTTGTCTGCCTATCTGTCTGCATATCAGAAGAGGTCACCTGAGACTACAGTTATAGATGGTTGGGAGCAACCAAATGGGTGCTGGGAATTGAACTTGGGACCTCTGAAAGAGCAGCCAGTGCTCTTAACCACTGAACCATCTCTCTGGCTCTTTTTTTTTTTTTTTTTTGTGGGTCTTAAGTGATACAAGTTCCTGAAGCAAAAATATGGTTGACTACTTCTATTCTTCTGTGGCAAGGTGGCCAGGAGTGGGGAACGATATGTCTTCTGGGGGCTTATGGACAAGTGCTTACCATCTGTGATGCAGTCTGTGTGTGCTTGTATCATTGTAAGAGAGCAGGTTTCCTGCAGTACTCACCTGCAGGTGGAGATATGCAATGTCACAGGCTCAAACAGGGATGAGTCCCTAACAAATTTCCCAGGATATGGGAATTTTAGGACTGACCATTAGTAAAGCGTATAGAGGGTTCTCCCAGGAGGTAAACAGTAGAAATGATGGCTCTGGTTTGGGGGGTTGATCAGGATTTAGGTACCTGTTGAGGCTAGACCCAGTGGGTTTTCAAGAAGCATGCCTTCCCTGACTATGTTGTTTGCTGAACCAACAACAGCCAGACACTCACTTAGCAGAAAACAACTTGACCTGGGATTACTTTTCTTCTCAGAGCTTGTTCAAGCTGTGGTCAAAATCTAGTTGGACACAGAAGAGAAGATTACACAGTATTACATCATTCAGAAGGGGTTGCCATCACCAACTGTTTTATTTAGTCTAATAAACTTTATTTTGGGGTGTTAAATCAACAATGCAGAACATGTGCTGGTTAAATCTTTGTGTGAAAAAATTATTTTTCTTCTTGAGAATCCAGGAATTTGCTTGGGATTATATGGATACCTTTATCAAGCATATCAGCAAGGACCTTGTGGGATGTGATACAGTTGGTGAATTTGAAAATGATTAAGGTTGAGATCGGTATTTTTCAAATTAGCTGGGGAAATAGTTTTCCTCTTTCTAAAGTACTGTCAACTTTGCTTTTTAAAAACAAAATTTCTGCAACTAGGAAGAGACTGTGATCTTGATATTATGTAGACTAGATATCATGCAGCACTTACAGGATGAATTTCCTAACGTCATTATGACAAGAGTGGGGTGCCTTCAAGTATTTACATTGTATAGAGCCTCCTCTCACTCAATAAAATATGTATAACTGACCATCATCTTTAAACAAGTGCACACTAAAGCAGAAACTTTAATGAATATAGTAAGTCCTACAGAAGGATGGATTTTGTTATGAGTTGTAGTTTCGCAAGGGTTGTGGTAGAATTCCCACCCTTAACGGGTCATATAAGCACTGGTTGAGACTAAGTCATATCAACACTTTGAGGTCATAGAAGTCAACAGAAGTTCTAATGTGGAGGTTAGGTGATGATGCTTCCCTCACTCTATTTACCACTCCTGGAAGTCCATGTTGCCCCACCAACCCAGCGTCTGGCAGTTATTCCTCTGTTCTATGCTATCTTGGATCCATGTCTCATGTCACAGCACACATGACTTCTGTGTCCCACCGTGCGTTCTTGGAAAGATAAGCTTATCAGAAGATCATGGAAGCCTGCCAGCTCATGCCCTAATTCATGTCTCAATGTGATGTCAAAGTCAATTATTTTTGAAGATTTGACACTATGGTTAAGAAAAAGGAATCATTCCCGAATACTGCTTACATATGAGATTCTAGTGAACAGTAGTGACTCCTCCTTGCAAGGAGGTTAGGAGTTTTTCAAGTGGTTAGAAAATTTCACCTGGGGGCTGGAGAGATGGCTCAGAGGTTAAGAGCATTGCATGCTCTTCCAAAGGTCCTGAGTTCAATTCCCAGCAACCACATGGTGGCTCACAACCATCTGTAATGGGGTCTGGTGCCCTCTTCTGGTCTTCAGGCATAGACACAGACAGAATAATGTATACATAAAAAATCTAAAAAAAATTTTCACCTGTCTGAAGTGGCTGAAGAACTTATTTCAGCTGGGCATTTCAGCTTGTAATAGTGGGGATTCAGTAGGGGTTCTATCCCAACCCTAAGATTGGCTATCTGCATCCAGATTTGAGGAGCTAGACAATTGAATGTGAGCTATCTAGAGCCCATGTGTGTGAATGTGTGTGTGTGTGTGTGTGTGTGTGTGTGTGTATGTACGTACTCTTGGTGTGTCCTTATTTTAGGCTGCAGGCTGAGATCAACTTGTACTGACCTTGTGTACATTCTATTGTCTGAGGTCTACGTGGGCTGGAGGAGCAAGAAGGGAAGGAGAGGCAAGAGAGAGGGCCCTGGAAAAGGTGGATAGGAAACTATCTCCAAGGGTTTCCTGGAGATGAGGTAGGGTTTCACTTTGCTGCCATTGCCTTGTTACTCTCTGACTGGGCATTGTGCCCTGTGCTCCAGGAATAGGATACAGTAGGAGACTATCTGGCAGCAGGAGACTGCTTCTGGTCCTCTATCTTCCTGAAGATGTCCTGCCCCCGACTTCTTTGTATCCAAAGAGAACTCTGTAAAGAAGGGCAACAGTATCCTTGGGCCATAAGTATTTTCCAGGTGCTTAGCATATAGTGAACATGTGGCGAATGATGACTTTAACAGTGTTTCATTTGTTGGAGAGGACTGAAAGTTTTTAGATTGAAGATCTTGTTCTGGGCCCTGGGTTGAAGGATTTGAAAACCCTGCAAAGCCAGGGCCCCTGTGATCACCTCAGTCTTTCTGTGTCTAGGTGCCCAGTTCCAGGCTGTGTGGGGCTCGGCCATATCAGTGGCAAATATGCCTCTCACAGGAGTGCTTCTGGCTGCCCGCTGGCTGCTCGGAGGCAGAAAGAGGGTACTCTCAATGGTTCATCTTTCTCCTGGAAGTCGCTGAAGAATGAGGGCCCTACTTGCCCAACCCCAGGCTGTGACGGCTCTGGCCATGCTAATGGCAGCTTCCTCACCCACCGAAGGTACCTGACCCACATGTCAACAATCAGGGACCTTTTGGCTGGAACATAACCCCTGGGTGGGGGAAGCAATCCAGTACTCAGTGGGACCAGCAGTTCTGCAAGGGAAAGCAAGACCCAAGTAGCTGAATGAGAGAAGTCATGGAAGCTGTTGGTACCAGATGGTGTTTATTTTGCTTTCGGAATGTGTTTGTTCTAATAAGTATTCCTCTGTGCACCAATGTTTATTATCCCTATGAGCAGTGCTATGCTAAACATGGAGACCATAATGAATAGACTCCTGTCTCTGCTCATATTTGACTTCTCGTCTCCTATACCTTGTGTCCTGCCCCTTACATTGGGACCTGTTTTATTGGGGTGGGAGGGAAGGCTCTTGCTTGCTTTGCAAGGGACCTGGTAGCTAGCCCTCTTCTTGCCTAGACAGTGCTCATTCTGTCCACAATACCTACCATGGCTGAGTTGGCTTTGCTTCACCAGACCCCCTTCCACTCTGTTCTAAGAAGTCACTCACCTTATCCAGTAACCTTTGTCTGGAGTGAAAGCCAATATCTACTCCCTTCTTTTTTCCTCCCCCTTTCTTCTTTTTCTTCCTTCTTTTCCTTATTTCTTATTCCACCTACAGAGTCAGTTAATGCATCCATTCAATGAAAACATTTACAGAGTCCACCTAACATCAAGGAGTAGAGACAGAGAAGAAAACAAAAGAACAGCAACCCTTTGCATTTTTGAGTGTGTTTTGGATAGGGTGGGTGGGGGACAGATAACATAAACAAATGAGAGCTATTGTATCTGGTGAATGGTAATCAGGGCTCAGGGGAAAAAGTACTCTGGAGAAAAAACCCAGAAAATTACTCTCCCTGAAATGTATGTAGAACAAGCCCACAGACACCTGGAACTGGAGAGAGCCTGGAACACCTTGGTGAGGTGACAAAAGGGAAGCAGGCAGAACTTTGTGAACAAGTATCTTGCCAATTGCCTCTGAGAGTGAGGTACCTACTTGGGAGCACATAAAAAAAGAGGGTCTCATTTAGGCAGTTAGGATGGCCACAGCATATAGACCATAAGGAAAATGACAAGAAGGCCAAAGAAGAGGCTGCGAGAGCCTGGGCCGTATGGGCCCAGCCGAACTCTGTGCTTCCCAAGTACATTTCACTTTGTCTCCATTTCGATTTATGATGTTGATGAAATCATTGCAAAAACATGTAGTAATGTGTGATAATCCACATGCTTTTATATGCTTTACTATATTCAAGGAATCACCTGTGAATGCTGGTACAATCATATCCTGAAAGATCTCTCAGGGGGTGGGGGCATGCAGGCCTCGACCCTTGTCCAGAGAGAGGACTAACACCTGGAGGCAGCAATGCCCTGGTTCCTTTAGGACCTATGGAGAGCCATGACAGTGCCAAACAGGAAGAGATCTGAGGGGGCACCTTCCCGGGCCCCTTTCCTGGAGTACAGCCTTGCTCACCAGGCAGGGAAGGCAGCTGAGGTGAACAGTGCCACGTTAGGGAGGCATCCAATGTCATCAAGGTGAGGTAGAATATGCTTGGCGTGGCCCTAATGTAGGATCCTGGACCTGCTTTTGTACAATGTCCCTGAACTGGTCAGTGACGTGTGAACTTCTGCTTCTAGTTTGTCTGGCTGTCCCAGAGCAACCTTTGCTGGAAAGAAAGGAAAACTCTCAGGTGATGAGATTCTCAGCCCAAAGTTCAAGACAAGTGATGGTGAGGATGCCCTTCTGGGATGTCCCTTTTTATCATTCTCTCTGTACTGTGGAAAGGGTATGGGATGCTGAGTTCCCCTGAGAATGAACCATGATAGATAGTTCTTTCCCTGAGCCAACTGGCCTATTAACTTAGCCCTGAAGTTCTCAATGCCTGGGCCCAGGACTTCTGGTTTCACTTGACGGTCATGTTCGCTCTGATCTTGGGTTTTGTGACTGTATGGATCAGAGTCTGATAGGAGGGCACCAAAAGCCATGCCCATGAGTTTGTGGACAGCATGGCTCTTCCAATTTAGGCAAGGGGATTCTCTTTGAATACATCTACCTTTGGTCATGGCACTTAATGTCTCTGAAGAGACCATTGCATTCTGCAAAGGTCAAGTCTTGAGGAAAATAATACTGTTCTCAGTTTCCAAGATTTCCCAGTATCTATGCCCAAGAACTAACTTCTGCATAAAGACCTCCTTTTGTCTCCAAAGCAGCAGTTGGACAGAGCTGCATCTGGTTTTCTCTTTTCTTTCTCTTTCCTTCCTTCCTTCCTTCCTTCCTTCCTTCCTTCCTTCCTTCCTTCCTTCCTTCCTTCCTTCCTTCCTTCCTTCCATTTATTTTTTGACAGTGTTGGAGAATGATGAGGAGATCAAGCAGCTAAATCAGGAGATACGAGACCTGAATGAGTCCAACTCAGAGATGGAGGCTGCCATGGTACAGCTGCAGTCCCAGGTAGGTGGACTTGACTCTTCCCTTCATCCAGAACCAGCCTGTAGGTTGCTGTTTCCATCAGTATCACTGGTGATGAGCTGATGGAAGCCCAACTCACAGCACACAGTGCACTGGTTAGCTGCCCACTCACTGCATTGCTTGGGAGTCTTACTTCCAGGTGGCTAATGTTAGTCATCGTCTTGGATCGCTCCACTGGCAAGAGCAATCTGTTAGTGTTCTGACTTTGCTAATACTGGTTGTCCAGTTCGTGTTTCCAGTCTCATTAGCACTAGCAGATCCTCTGTTCTGTTCTTGCCTGGACCCACAGAGCCAAACATCAGCCAATCATAAAGAGCTCCTTGCTTTCCTCAATAGAATTTGGGTTAGATTAGAACCTTTCCACTTCCTTGTTCATGGAGGAACGCTTTTAGTGTTGAGTGCTGGTGAGCATGGCTGTTGCTTGGTAACAGGGCTACTGCTGGCTGCTCAGTGAGTCTAGGGCAGAGCTGGTGTTGTGTGAGTGTCCCCTAATGTGTGGAGAGAGTACAGGAAATGTACACAGAACACATCAAGGGCAGAAAAGACAAACTGGAAAACAGCAGGCCCTTTTCTGGAGGCAGCAGTCATGCTATGTTCCATTCCACATGTCTTGATCTAGTTTCTCCATGGGCTAATGCCATTTCAAGAGCTTGTGTATATATAGCACCAATCATGGGGTCAGGAAGAGCTTGTACTATATGTCCTGTACATAATGGCGTGTTCTCCCCCAGGATCACTGGAAGTGACAACAGGAGGGAAAGAGTCTTTTATCTGGGACCATCACCGTTTTCTACCTGTCTTTGGATGAGACACAGTACAGTGTAGGTCATCTCTCAGAGTCCCCAGAGCCTTCATCCTTGTGATAGCACATCTTATTTCTCTATTTGCCAAAACCCATGTTTTTAGACTTATTTTTGTTAAAGATTTAATTTTTGTTTTTAGTTGCATACATTTGATATGTCTGTATACGGTTTGTGCACATTGCCCAGATGAGAGCTTTGAATCCCCAGGAGCTGAAGTTATAAGAGATTATGAACTGCCTGATATGTGTGCTGGGAACTGAATCTGGATCCTCTCCAAGAGCAATACATACTCTTAACTTCCGAGTCATCTCTCCAGCTCTTTAAATCTATCTATTTATTTATTTATTTATTTATTTATTTATTTTGTGTGTGTGTGTGTGTGTGTGTGTGTGTAAATGCCTATGGAGGTCAGAGATATCAGATATCTCTAGTTACAGGCAGTATTGCGTCACATTATATAGGTGCTAGGATTCAAACTCAGGTCCTCTGAAAGAGTAGTAGCACTCTTTAGCTACTTAGCATCTCTCTTGCCTCAAGACTCATTTTTTAAAGAGCTTGGTGTGGTGGTACTTAGCTACATAGAAAGTTGAGGCAGGAGGACTGTTTGAGCTCATAGGTTTAAGAGCAGCCTGGACAATACAGAAAGATTACCCCACCTTTAAACTACAAAAAAAAAAAAAAAAAAAAAAAAAAAGAAAGCCTATCTTTGAAAGACTGATTACTTTTTTTTACTAGCATTTCTTTGGAAGTTTTAACTTCCAAATTCCAGTGGAATGGCTAAAAGGGAAGGAGTAAGGTCTCTAGAACTAACCTTAGTCACCACTGGCAGAGCAGAGCACTCAAGCCTTGCTCGCTGTCTTGCTCACAGATTGTCTTTCCATGAGTTCAGTCTTTTACTCCTTGAAGACATACAGTTAAAGTTGGGGCTGTCTTTTAACACTAGAAAACCCAGAAATAGCATAATCCTATGTAAGTTCACTGCCAGGGTGTGGAAGATGGAGAAATTTGTTTGTATAAAGCCTGAAGATGTGCCTGGAGCCTAGGCAGTCAGCTCACTGGTCTTTTGTGGGAGGAAAAGACTCAGAGGTAGGGGCAACCTAGCACCCAGAAGTTGAATGCAATTTTTCTTATCATACAAAAAGAAACAAAAGCCTGACAAAGTAAGAGCACAGCTGGAATGGGCAGAGATTGAGCTCAGGGTGCCTTGGAATCTGTGCTTTTCATCCCACCACTAGGAGGGACAAGGCAGAGAAAGCCAGATGTAGACTTAGGTACTTGGCATACCAGCTCCTTTCTCCTTTGGACAGAGGCTACTTCCAGAGGACCTTTTCTCTCTCCATTTAGGGATCAGGGCTCTACCATCTCTTTCCCTTGATGGGGTACCTCACAGCGAGCAGGACCAAGCCTCTTTCCCACTAATGAGCTTTGTCTTTTCCCAGAATATTGTGAGGCATGGCCAGTGGTTTCACAGCAATCCAGGGCCAAGGGAAGGTAGTATTTTCTATGTCTCTACAACAGATCTCTTCCATGGAGAAGAACTTGAAGAACATTGAGGAGGAGAACAAGCTCATTGAGGAGCAGAATGAGGCCCTATTTCTGGAATTGTCCGGGCTGAGCCAGGCCCTCATCCAAAGTCTTGCCAATATCCGCCTTCCACACATGGTAGGCAGCAAATCACCTGTGGGTATTACAGATGAGCTGGCAGCTACCCTAGGGACAGTTCAAGGGTAGGAAGAGTGGGTATACCTCATGGCTCTGTTTATGATTCCTGAGGGAAGGATCCTGTGGGAATAGTGCCATCCCCTTGGTAGTGTTCTCAGTGCTCTGGTAGGGTAGGTGTAGGTCCTGAGTAGCTCATGAATTGGGGTATAATGGGGTTTCAATGATGGTGAGTTATGATTTTTGTTATGATTTTTGGTTTTGGCAGGGGTGTATTAGACCTGGGTTTGAGGCTTTCCAACTAGTTTCTACTATGTGGGGTCCACTCTAGTAAGGCCTGCTAACCTGGTTCTGTTCTCTAGGAGCCAATATGTGAACAGAATTTTGACGCCTATGTGAACACCCTCACTGACATGTACTCCAATCAGGATTGCTACCAGAACCCGGAGAACAAAGGCCTTCTGGAAACGATCAAGCAAGCTGTGAGGGGCATTCAGGTTTAGGCTGCACTGCACAGAGGAGTCTCCACTCTGCTCCTCACAGTGGGACTTCTGACTTATAGCTACTTCTAACTGGCACCGCCTGGGAGGAGCCTTGGGCAGCTTACCCAAAGGGAAGCCTGGAAATCAGTGTCTCCTATGATGTCCTCATTAGGCCCAGGCATGAAGACCTCTCTACATGGATGTCTGGTGACACTGAAGTATTACAAAGTGATTTATTTTTGCTTTTTGAAAGAAATCTGAAGAGCAGCTCAAAGTCTCCAGTGGAAGCTCATGGACAAGGTTCTCAGGGAAGTTTTGGAGTTTGCAGCCACAGTATTCCATTGTCTGTCGAGATGGGGAGGGCAGCCATGGACTTGGTGGGTGTTAGTCTCAGCAGGAGGGCATGCCTAGGCTTCTGGAAATGCTCACTGAGGCCCATGTGGCAAGTATGTTTTGTGTTTTCATTTAATTCAGCTTTGTGTTAAAGGTGCACAATGATCTGCTTCAGAGGTGAATCTAGGGACAGGCCTTCCAGATGGCAGTCTACACAACTGACGGGCATCATAGAAAGTCAGCTGAAGGTATTTTTCACTTAGAGGCCCTGGAAATCAGCCACTTGCCTGGGAAGCAGATGCCTGTAAACCATGCAGACCAGCTGCCTCCTGGCTCCAGTCTTTAAACCCCTGGCCTGGGCTCTAAGTCCAGGACCACTGGGCCAGGCCTCTTCTGTCTGTATTTCCACCCAGGTGCTAGACCAACCATTGTTATTTTTTCCTGTGTAGGCTTGCTCTCTGTATCCAAGGTGACTAAAGTGGGGACACTGAGATCAGAGGTTAATTGTTAATGGGAGACCACCAAGATTTCACTTCTTTTTAGAACCATTCAAGATGTGAAAAGGGTAACTTTTAATTTAATGTGTTAAAAACACAATGTTCTTACTGTGTAAATAGAGTCCAAGTCAATTGTGACTGCAATTCCAAATTAGTATTTAAAAGTAGAGAAATTGCACTTCCTGGAAGACACTGAAAGTAGCTAGTTTATTCTGTAAATTATTTAATTTTGTCATGATATAAGTATTTATATTCATACCCTCTTATGTTAAATGTTTGGTATTTATTATTTTATTTATTAATTTTATACTATTTCAACTAGGCTACACACTTGGGCACCATAAGAGTTACATAAGTTAAATCAAAACAAAAACATTTATTTGACTATAAGATAGGCCACAAAGAATCTTGATATAACTCCTAGTTATAATTTTGATGCAACTGAGTTATTTTATATATATTTTGTTATTTATTCTTTTAATAATGGAATTTTTTAAAAAAGTATTTTGTAACTGAGGAATTTTGATAATTTGGGTTTTCTCACCATTGGTCCAGCAGAGAGAAAGGTGTTCTGGTTTTCTTTCTCCCTTTGAGTTCCTTTTGTCAGGCCAATAACAGCAAATGGAATTCTGTATTTATTATTATTTACGTGTAGTGCAGATGTGTGTGTTCTGGTGTTTCTTGTGTTGCATTTGTGGAGGTTCTTATGGATGATTCATGTTGCTGTGAGGAAGTGCTGGCCATGATCAGTTCTAGGTAGCTGCCTGGACACACTGGCCAAGCTGCCCAGGACCTTGATACCCCAATACTGTGACCCTCCTTCCTCAGGAAACACGTTGGACCCACAGTACTTCGTGGTGTGTTTGGAGGGTGATTTCTAATAAAAGTCTCACTGTGCATAGGTGCTATGGTCTGTGAGGAGGCTACTGCTCTGCTCCCTGTGCTTCAGGGAGTACTGTGTGGGTGGTAAGAAGGCTCTTTTAAGTCTTTCTATGGTACTAATGTGGATCAGCCAACACTTCTGCTGGGCCTGCCTTCCCCGAAGTGTGGTTCTTCAAGGTCTAACTCACTGCATCTTACCTTTTCCCACAAGCCAGGCATGTCCAAATTTTTTTTTTTTTTTTTTTTGCCCCCAGGAGTTTTCTCTTATATTGAGGAAGAAACAGTCACCCTGTCTGAGTTGCTAGATTAGAGGTGTGCAGTGTCCCTGTGTTTTCACACCGTCTTTCTTAGGCATGAGTGGACGAGAGCTTAGACATTCTGGAGGGAGGCAGAGGTAAGAACTGAGTTAGAAGGTGAAGGAAGAGAGCTCTATGATGACCTCAGAGCTATTAGATCTAGCCATGCCTGAACACAGTCTACTCTTGAACTTCCTGTATGTGAGGCAGCGGGTTCCTTTTATTTGTTTTAGCTCATGTGTTTTGACTTTGTTTGCCATTCAGAGTCACTTTTCCACTGTTGCACTACGGTAACAGGTGGATTTCTAGTTTTCCCAAGTTCAGATTTCCATTTAAGGCAAGTCAAATTCAATCAGACTTCTCTAGGAATGTTGCCTAGGGGTCTTATGATATATAGGCAGAACCCATCTTCCCTGACAAATTCTTAGAAACTCTGGGATTTATTTGCAGCTTCTGTTCCAGTCAGGTAAGGTCCTGGGTGCTGGGGCCATACACCAGTGGACCATGCAGAATCTGCATAACTGTGAGGAAGAATTCCTGGAGATTTCTTTTGCCAAGGCTATACCATGGATAGTAGTGGTCTGAGGTTGCAACCCTTCATGTGGACATAGGTGTTATAGCATGGGCCCAGGGTGTGGACAAGCAGAGCATCTCTGATGCAAACTGAGCTCATCCTAGGTTCTGAAAACTGGGGACAGTAATGGTCGTTGATGGAGTAAAAGAGGAGAGGGTGTTGCCAGAACTCCGATATGGCTGCCCACAGAGGTAAGTAGCTGTGACTAGAACCATGGAAGAATGAGATGCCATCAGAGGAAAGGCCCACATCTGCCCTCATGTGAAAACGACAGCCTTGTGTTTGGGTCATTAACCCTGTTCTATCATTGCCCACAGTTTTCTTTCTTTTGATTTTGAAGGATTGTTTAGCCTGTCATACACCATTGAAAAACTGCATGTCAGGGGAACTTCCCACCCCATTACCCAACCTAGAACCTCTTCTTAATCATACACAGCACAAACAACTGGCCCAGGAAACACAAAAGGTTTATTTAAAGATCTTCCAAATAATTCCAAAGAGCTGGAATGCCAAAAATCACCAAAGTGTGTAAAAGCAGTTTGTGAAGGACAAGAGTTCATCCTTAGTGAGTTTTGTTAAGATCTGATGACACATCTATCTGTTTTTGGTCTTTGTGGAGCTTTCAAGCACTATATATAACTAAGAACACAATGTAGGGGGTGGAAGACTCCAGAGGTTACTATCACGGCTGTAATGGGTATGTGTGCATGGGTCACAGAGGACTTTAGAAGTAGGAGACTTGTGAACAACTAAGGAAAGAACAATACCTAGTCTCAGACTCTAAATAGAGTTATGGTCTGTCTGATGCACAACTGCCTTTAGCAGGAGCTCCAGCCCAGGGCTGACCAGTTGGCTGCCATGATAGTATGATCAAATTTTCCTTTGACTTCCCTAAGATGGGTAGTTGTTAAGACTTCTAATGGAGGCCATGTTTGGGATCTGGCTAGTGGTTTGTCATACAGGGAGTTCTTAGAAAGTTCCCAGGGAAGACAACTCTTTCTTTTTAAAGAGGTCCAAGTGTTTGGAGAATTGTTTTGATCCTATAGATCTTTTGGAGTTTTCCACACCCTGTTCTTCTAGTTCCAGGATTTGGAGGAACTGGGAGCCTCATCTAGGGGCTCCCAATCCTTTGTGTTTTTTAAATTAAAGTGCTCAGCTTTGGACACTGCAATATTCTGGGATCTTGATGGTTAAGCCCACTGGACTCAGCAGGCCTGGACCTGGACAGGGTTCTACAGGGCAAACAGGGACCATGGGTATTTCCAGGGTGTTAAAAAGATGCACAACCCCACAGTTGGTAGTGGCATGAGAGGCTCAACACTGGGAGGACGCTGTCTCTTGCTTCGAGGGACTGGCCGGTTCACTAGTCTGCTGGGTGCTGGGAGGGAGTTGTATTGAAGTCACAGCAGATGTCCTCTAGAATTCATTTTGGTGATTTCTTCCCATAGTGAAGCCTTTCCTCCCAACATGTAAATATTCTCTTATTCTTTCAAGAGAATAAACTTTTAGTTTCTCTACAGGGGAGGGATCATTCTGCAGTTGTGGTTGGGGTCTGGGTGTCTGCAACTTCTGAAAGCATTTGCCAATATCTTTGAACACTTGCACATCTCCGGCAAGGCCTAGTCCTGCCAGTTCTTGGTGTGGGGGTGGAGGATTTAAAGGCTAGATTGTGTTGGTTCTGAGCTTCCTCTACCCTAGCTAGAATTCAGCATTTTGAGCCATTTGATTCCCATTGAAAAGTTTTCTTGCCTCTGAATACATTATTGCCTCTTCTCCCACATCCCCATCCCTGAAAATTTATGCCTTAAAATTGTTATTTAAGCTGGGTGATAATGGCATATGCCTTTAATCCAAGCACTTGGGAGGCAGAGGCAGGCGAATTTCAGGCCAACTTGGTCTGCAGGATGAGTTCTAGGGCAAACCAAACAAACAAAGCTGTTATTAGATGAGTTTTGAGAGGGACTGGAAAAAGCACATTTGAACATCTGCACTCTCTGTCTCTCCAACTGGGTGCTGTGCTCAAGGCCACCAGCAGGAGACTGCTCCCTACACAGAGAGAAATCATTTCAGTATGAGATCAGCACCTGCATGACTGACTAGCCTCAGGCTTAGGAGAACTTGCCAATTAACAACTCATAAGTGTCCCATTTAGGGCCGATATAGCACAGGAGTGAAAGGGTTCCTACTAATTGTGGGCCTTATAATGAAGATGGAGTCTACTACACAGGGGTTTCAATCTCCATGCGCTTCCCTTTGCTATGCCTAAAAGGAGGTAGAGTATGGACTTTGTCAATAAGAGCTTCAGAATAAGTTAAAGATAGTAGAACCCATAGGACCCTTTATTCATGATTGTAAATGTCTCAGCCAATTCGAGGCTGCTAACTCTATAGAGCCGTGCTCCAGGCTGTCCTTCCTGGCTTCTGTAGTCCCTGTCACAAC